GCGAAATAGATATTGTTCGAGAAACGGAACATCGACGTCGCCGATCGTTCGCGAAACAGCGACGGAAATTCGGCCGGCCTTGAATTGGCAGTCTCTTTATGAGATCGGTGACCCAGTTTTGCTCGGTCCACCAGCTAATAGAATGTTATCGGTTGCCTTCCTTCCTTCCTTCTTTCCTTCCTTCTTTCATTTTCTCGTTTCTTCGTTCCTCCGAACACCGGATAAGCTCCGATTTGTATTTCTTTTTTTTTGTCGCCGGATGATCCCGCGCGCGAAAAAAAAAAGACATCTCCGCATTGTTATATCATCTTTCCCGGGCTGTCTCCTCTTGCACAGACCGGCGTTTTCGCGCTTTAGAGAGACCTTTCCTCTCTCTCCTTCTCTCTCTCCATCCCTATCTCTCTCTCTCTCTTATATTTTTCCCAGCATTATAAAATATACATCTACACCGCGTAAAATGAGTGGGCGGCATTTGTTTGATAGTACATTGTAATCCGTGAATTGTTAGAATTTATATGTATATTAAGCGCGCTCTCATAATTACGTCTCACGAAAGTGCACTAATGAGAACAAATAAGCATGTGAGTTAGTTTCGAAATGTTATGTCGCTGCAGCCAAACACAATGTTACGCGAAAATCGTCCATGTACAAGGATATCCCCGTTTACATGTGTCGTTATCGTGCTTTGCCGTGGATTATTTGTCGGGATGCGTTGAATTTTTTTAGCTTACCGAAACACAGAGGGACGAACTAACATTGGCATACAGAGACAGGTAGATAGATAGAGAGAAAGAGAAAGAGAGAGAGGAGGGAGAAAGAGGGAAAGAGAGAAGGAAAACGAGTGAATAATCCATACGATACAATATGAAGTAAAAGTTTGAAATGTGAAATTTGAGATTTTACGTTCTCGAAGGCAGATTACTCTCCCGGCCGCACCGTAATGCCGCTTTTGTTGAGTGCGAGCAATCCGTACCGCTCTGTGATGTAAAGTTCTTATCGTCCCGGATGACATGGGTGTACGCGTACCCCTTGTGAAAATCGGGCAATATTTATGACGGACGAGGTCGCGAGCGCGAACATACGTTTCCCGTAGAATTTTTTTACACAGCGTCATTTTTTATTGGCGAGTTAACGTTTCCCGGTTGTTCTCTCTCTCTCTCTCTCTCTCTCACTTTTCTCTCTCCGTGTCTCAACGATAAAAATCTCTTTTCGCGCCATCCGTCATCCTGAGGTGGGATCTTGGAGAGAGACGCGCATCTGTTCCACTTCCAAATCGGAACGGAATGTGCACTTACGTCCGCGTCCCGCGGAATACCGTGTACTCGTCGAAACTTTAAATTGCATCACGCTCGCAGGCATGCCTCCGTCGTCGTAATTTCAACGAGAACATTGCTCGTGTTATCCATCGTACCGTGACGAGGAGTGAGAAGGAGGGAGGGTGCCGCACCTACGCCTAATTAAACTACAACCTCCCGCTGGGCCACGCGACGGAATTATAAATTCAATCCTTTCGGGCTTTTATCGACAGCAAACGCTATGCGGGGCTCCACCGCCGGCTCCCACAATCGGAATCGTGATTCAATCGAGCTGCGTGAGCGCGACGCGCGAACAACCGGATTCAAATCGAGTTAATCGCGCGAGAGTGGTGGCTCGATGATGATCGCACGGCTAAAATCCGCTGCTGTTCCGGCCGCGTCTTGTATTCGCGATTATTCACATTGGATATTAAAGATGTTGTGAAAGCGATCGCGGATCTTGTCTAAATATTCCGTCGATTATAATTAGCCCCGAACATAGAGATGTTCGGGGAAATGTGGTGGGTGCCGCGGATCAATGCTAGACGAGGACGACGGCGACGGTGACGATGGATTCGCGTACGGCCGGGTTCTCTTTTTCTTCCGATCGAGATCGTCGATATTCATCGAATTTCTCTTCCATCTACCGCGCACTTATCCCGCCGGTCACGGCCTGTCCCCTCTTTCTCTCTCTCTCTCTCTCTCTCTCTTTGCCGGATCGGTCGCGAAAGCTTGGGGCGCTTTCGTGCGCCGAGTTGTTGCGATTGCTCCTTTTATTAATATCCGCCCGTCTAGAGCGATCGAACTATCCATTTTACGACCTAGAGGATAGGTCCTCCCAGGCCTGTCTACCATAAAGAAAGCACGCGGTCTATTGATTTTACATTTACCTGTATGGACGGAGTAAATACCCGTGAAGCGTGATAGTTACACGTGGGATTGCTGTACACAACGCCGTTTGGCGTCAGCGTTACCCACTGTGTATATCGGCCTCTCTCTATTCAACGTCAGCGTTACATCGCCCCCATCGAGTGGCGTAATTTGCTCCGCACGCGATTCGCGATGTACCTACCATGCGGACGTGTCCACATGGCGGGACAGATCAGCGCGTTAATCCATTGCACTCGCTGCCAGTACTGGCGCTAGGTGAAATGGACGTTGTTGTGTCGCTGTTGTTGTCGATGTCGTCGCTGCCGTTGTCATTGCTGTACAGCCGCAGTTTCTCCCATTACCGAGAGCCCGACGAGTGCCGTTACATTAATGGCAGTTACGTGCGGCGCGTACGTGTACGTTACTTGCCGCTTTGGCCGACACATTTCGTCCGTTTGTTTTCTGTAACGTTACTTCAATTTCGCAGCTCGCTTTTACCCTCCCTTTTTTTCCGCTTCTCTTTTATCGTCAATTAGACGCGCTCTTCGACGCGTTCTCTTCGAAAGTTTCGAGCGCACGACTGTGTCTACTTTTTTTTTCTTTCTTCCACTCTTCTTTTCTTGCTTTTCTCTCTTTCTTTTCCTAGCGCGGAGATCTACCGATCTCATCGTTATTTATCGTTTCTTCGTTCGAGAATCGTTTCGCGCATCGTCTCGGACACGTAGGACGATTGTAGGCGAGCGTTTTTTGAACGACCCGGCGCGAGGACTCGACCCGTTCGAAGGGAGAGAATTCTCGATTAGTTGCAGTCGCGCCGTGAAGTCAAGGAGGTATTTAAGGTGATGAATGTTTTTTCACGAGCGTCGCTTTAGAGACCGTTCGGGCGGACGGGAGAAGAAAATGCCGGATGCGCGCCCCGTTCCTGAAACTCCGGGCTCATTTCGCGCGGGCGGGTAAAAGTAATTTGCTAAAGGGTCTCTGCCTAATCCACCCACAATCCCGTTAGCCAAATTCTCTTTCCCTGTCTTTGAGGAAAATCCCCGCCGTATACACACACACACACACACACACACACACACATATATATATATACATGCGCGTTTAAAAGGAGAAAATGCTCTGCCGAGTTGGCTTAAAATCGACCCGCAGTCTCGTGAGTATTACCTTCTTCGTTTTTCCTCCTCTCTCTCTCTCTCTCTCTCTCCTCATTCTCGGGCGGATCTCTCGCCTTCGGATGAATATCATCTCTCCGTCGCTAATTCGTTCGATATCTACCGCTCGGCGTTCAGCCGGTTACACCGGTTAGGGCAAGTTTGCGGGGAGGGTAAAACCGATATTCGCATTAGGCTACGGCGACAATCGGCGGTGGTGAGTAACGGCCAATGTCAGTATGTGATGATGGATTGTAAACCAGACTGTGTATGTCGTTCGTAAACCGATGCGCGCGCTGTGTTCGCCCGCGACGACGACGAAGCGTAGGCGCGTATTAATACCCCCTGGTATTACTATCGCATTATACCTGCTACGTGTAGCACGAAGAGCGCACGAGGAAGAAAGCGATGTCAAGTTCCGAGACGGTGTGTACGTACGTGCTCATTACATTGACACTCGTGATTAAAATGTACTGTGTTTAACGCGTTGTTGAATGCCGCCGTGGCCACCGGTGACCGGCGGCGCACGGAGTGACCACCGCACCGCGTCTCGTTAACTTAAGATTACAACGTATACGTATCATTAATTACGTTAAAAAGTTAATTATGCACTCAATGGATGTGACAAATAACGAGACGCGCAGTAAAATACACTTTGTACTTGTGGTCGGCATTTGTCAGAATTTTCGTGTTGAATTTTTCACGTATTAATTTAACATATGTGTATTAATTTAACATATTGCGCTTATGTTATATCGGTATATTTTGCGCCGAGTTGATGTTCAACATGTGTAAGTGTTAAAATAACACATTTTACGCTTCGTTGTAACGCGACTAACATGTTACGGATGCCATATAATTTTGTGTTAATTTGTGACATAATATGTGTGTTACTTTTCAACATATTCACTTTGTGTTAAATTAATGCAAAAATTTGTGTAGGCCGCTTGGGACACGTGAATTATATTAACTCCAATCGTGTATGCATCTTTTTGGGCGCTTCAATCTGCTACTGTCATTTGTGTCCTCGCTTATTTAAAGTTTGTAAAAGTGTCGATAAAAATCTGGAAAAAAATCACGAATATACTTTGAAGTCTGTAGAGTAGAATTATGTTAAAGAATGATCGCAAGTGTTCAGCTAAATGTCACACCTCATTGAAAATATAAAGGGAAACGCGATGAAAACATCGACCGATTAAAGGGTTAAATTTAAACACACAATTTGTCACCGTGTGGCAGAAACACGAAAGAGAGATGACACGCGTCTCGAATAACGCTTCTTCGGTGTATCTCCGATAATTGTATCATCATTTAAGCTCCCGGTGCGCAATGAATGGAAACGAACGCGGCGGTGTCCCGGCGAAGCGACCGCGAAATTCGCGCGCGCTCACAGTGGGACACTTTTTCCCGGCGCGTCCGAAGTGCCGTTAACGTCGTTAACGTCGCGCGCGCTCGTCGGCGAGTCGCACACAGTGACTGACGGGACTGACGTTGCTTCGCACGCTGTTAATATATTCAAAGTCGGACACGGGATAAACGTTTTCGAGTGGGCGCGCGAGGGAAGTCGGATTTTTCCTATCCGCGATCCCCGCGCATTCACAAGCGCGCGGGCGGCGGAGGTGCACAGGAGAGGTGACGCGTTCCACGAGGGTAACGTCGATTAAACGGACGGGCAAAAACTCACCTACGGAAGTCCCTGCTCCAGCAGGCGTATATCACGGGATTCATTCCACTATTAATCCAACCGAGCCATGTGACGGCCGCGGATACTATCTCTTCCTGCCAGATGCACCTCGTGCAGAAACCGGACCACAGATTCACGACGAAGAAGGGCAGCCAGCAGATGATGAAGACACCCATGACGATGCCCAGGGTCTTCGCCGCCTTCTTCTCCTTGGCGAATTTCGCGAGCTTGCGCGACAGGGAGAAATTCTTGCCGAGGTGCTGCTTGTTGTTGATCCTCGCGGAGGGCACTCGGGTGAGACCGTTGTTGTGGAGGGCGGTCAACGGCTCCTCGAGGTCCTGCAGCTCCTCGGGCGTGCTCGAGGTCGTGCGAAACAGGTGCCGGGCGTCGGTGTTGGTGCCGCCGCCCCGGTGTATCCTCAGGGTGAGCTCGAGCTCGCCCGAGGCCATCATCACCTGCTTCGTGCCGAGCTTGAGGCTCCTCGTTTGTATCACGGCGGCACGGTAGATCCGGTAATACGTGAAGACCATGACGAAGAGCGGCAGGTAGAAGCTGATTGTCGACGAGAAGATCAGGTAGCCGAGGTTCTCCGTGAAGGGGCACTTGTCCTCGGGCACCTGCTCGGTCCGCACCGCCCGCCACCAGGCGATCGCGGGGAAGGAGATCGCGCTCGAGCAGATCCACACGATCGCGATCAGGATGGCCGCCCGCTTCCGGCTCATCCGCGTCGGGTACGTGAACGGATCGGTGATCGCCCAGTAGCGGTCCAGGCTGATCACGCACAGATTCAGGATCGACGCGGTGGAGAAGAGAACGTCCAACGAGCGCCACACGTCGCACCAGTCGGTCGTGAAGAGCCAACGGTTCTCCAGCACCTCGTAGACCGCGCTGAACGGCATCACCACCAGGCCGACCAGACAGTCGGCGAAGGCCAACGAGGTTACGAAGTAATTCGTCGCCGTGTGCAGGTATCGCTCGCGGAACACCGCCAATATCACGAGCGTGTTGCCGAACACTGTGGCGACGGAGAAGAACAGGAGAACGATCGCGAGACCGGCGCGATCCGTCGCGAGTTTCCAGAGATCCTCGTAGGTGCCGTTGAACGGCGGGTAGCTCGCGTTGTAGAAGCTCCTGCCGAGATCGTCGTTGTTTGCTGCGTGTACCTCGTCTTCCCAGCTCAGTAAATAGATCTCGCTGTCGTTCATGTTTCGCCGTGCGCAGCCGTGCCACTACCGACGCTGCTCCACCGTCTGCCGACGCGCGATCTCACCCCGACGACGCGCGATTGCCCGAGACGACGATCCCGAGGTTCCCGATCAGGCGGCTACGCTTGGATTCGCTCGCTCGCTCGCCGGTTCTCCTCGTGCGCCTTTTCATCTTGACTCCCCCCGAGTCAAGCGACCCTGCATGTATCCTCGGCGATTCCCGAAGAAAACCGCCCACTGCGACTTCCTCTCCTCGGCCGTATCTCCTCGTGAAGCTCAATTAAACTTACTCGACATTCGTCGCGCTTATCTGTCCGACGGAATGGCGTTTGGCACAACGCGTCCCCTCCCGGCCGCGATATTTAAAGCAACGCGCGGAGAAAACGGTGACATAATCGGGGGGATAACGTCGAAAGTTCGAATACTCCCTCTCTCGGGTGCTCACTCGTCGGCTTTCCGCTCATGGCCGTATTTTCGTGCGAGACTCTAGAGTTTACCCGCTCTTTCCCGACACCTGGAACAAGGCGAATGAATTCGTGAATTCGCGAACGATATCGGCGTTCTCGCGATCCGTCCGGGCGAAAACGACCGGGGAAATACGGAAGCTCGCTTCGTTCTCATACGGCGATGTTTTCAGCTCGGATCGATGTTATTATAATGATCGAGCGTATTCGATTCAATTATTTCTGGAGGAAGGCGAAAAAGAGACACCGAGGTAACAAGGATCTGCGTGATTCGGGACTTCTCGCGGCACTTGAGACGAACTCAAACCGGCGGAAGCTTCGCACTCCGCTGCCGCGCGTTACACACACACCGCAACCACTGTCGCGAATTAATTGTAAAGCAGTTCAAAGTTGAGGGACAAACGTGCGTCGACGCGACCTAACTTCGAGTAAATTCTCTCGCCCCGGCAATTTTATTGAGTAACAACTACCGCTTCATTCCCCGTCACGGGCGTGACGTCTGAGAAATTTCACCCTCGGGGGCATGTGACGAGCGAACTCTTTCGGGGCGATATTAAAACCATCGCGTTGCCCTGCCGCTGACGTCGTCGTCGTCGTGTATCTCACGTATAGGTCTTTGATCCTCTTTCGAAATCGTTCTCGTCGTGCGGGTATATTGGATTCGTGCCGACAGAATGCGGTCGAAAGTTCATTAGAACAGAAAAAAAAGAGGAAAAGAAATCACGGAAAGAGGACTACTGATACCGGGTGGATTTCCGCCGTAATGCGTTGACGTGTCGGTCCGCTCGTAAACCCAAAAAGCGAGAAAAAGGGAAGAAATCGGAAAGCCGTGGCGAAGGAAGGGAAAACGTTTCTGCGGGGAGGGGGATTTGAATGACACGTAGCGCGTAACGTTAATCGTCGAACGAACAAGAACGATCGTCGGAAACGAAACCGTCTGGAAACGTCTACGCCGTCGCTCGAGCCGCGCGTGAACAATCAGTTTCAAAGAGCCCCCCGGCCGTCTTCTTACCCGGCGTTATGGAGGCGCGAGCGCGGCTATTTGCGGATAATTCATCGTTGAGTGATTATCACGATCATCTTTGACCCCGCACCCTCGCGGCCTTCCTCGTTTTAGCAGTGTAACGAACACTCGATATTACACACGGCCGTTGAGGAAGGCCGCCGTTGAACTTGGTCATTACGGATGAATAGTACCGATGGCGATCGATACGCAGGCGGCGCTGCAAAAAGTAATTTTTCTAGAGCGCCCCGCGCTCATTAATGGGGGAAACGTAAAAATGTATTCGTTTTTCATCCCGCTCGCCCTCTCGAAAGTTCATGCACGGCGATCGAGTCGCAATTCGCGTTGGATCTACCTAGAGATGTTACGACGCGGGGAAAATCGTCTTACGAACCTGCGTTCGTTTGATACCTCGCGCGAGTTTAGAGGAAACGTACTGCCCGAGCGCAGAGGAAACGGCGCTTTTCCGACTCTGCAACTTGAGTCGTGCGCTACACGGGGGGAAAAAAGCGCGTATCGATTGCGAGATCGTGAAACCGGAGCGAGTTGTATGCGAAACGCGAGCGCGTAGTAAGACGCGAAATTAAGGGGCCGCTACGCAAACTCGTGAGGTTGTAAGGAGGAATGTTTTCTCTTAAAGAGCAAATCCTTTTATCGCGTTTTCCGACAAGGGTCGGGGAGCTAGATCTTCGCGTGATCTCTTCCCCTGTTTCCCTTAGTGTATGGAATTGCGATAGGCGGATCAAAAGCGGCTACAGATAACTTACGTAACGCAGATCGAGAGAATAAAAGAGGAGAAGTGCCCGAAGGTAGCTAAGAATTGAAAGAAAAAAGATTGAAAAGGAGAGAAAAAACAAGGAGGAAGAAGGAAGGAAGGGAGGAGAATGGAAGCGGGACAGAAGGAATGATGTATAAAAATTAAAGCGTCATGGAGAGAACGTATGAGATAACGGTACAGAAGTAATAATAAATTATGAAACATAGATGCCCGTTACATTTATAAATTTTTCAGAGAGAGAGAGAGAGAAAGAGAGAGAGAGAGAGAGAGAGAGAGAGATACAGAGAGGTTTCCGCGTACTCTGTATTTAATTAATTCTTCTATGAGCAAGGAATTCATTTAATACCGAGTATTTGATATCCGCGTCGTCTCTCTGCGCTCCCGCTATATAGGACTGACTTACACGATAATGTAAATTAACGTCGCCGAGAGAGAGTCGGAGGAAGGAGGAATCTGCTTTACGAGGCTTGATCGCAATCGCGTTTGCGATCCCGGCGCAGCTAATTGAAAAATTGCATAAGATTGGCCAAACGATAATCGCGTGAGCCGGAAGTCAGTGGGTGCCAATAGTCTATTATCGTTCGTGACACTCTCCGAGTATTCGTTTTGCGCGCCTCAAGCGCGGCTGCCTCTTTACGCTGAGATATCCGACTCGAAAGCAAACGATTATAGTTGGAATTTGCACGGCATCATTTTAATTATTAATTTCGCTTCGCGCGCGCGAAACGCCAAATCGACGAAGGGGAGGAGGAAGGGAGGGGGATGACGAGGAGAGAACGATCGGTCGCACAATCGCGCGTTTTCCTCCGGCCTCGCAGCGGACCGGGCTAAATATAGAGCGCATTCGGCATTCGATTGGAAGTCATCGATAATTCCCGAGTTGCGCTCCCTTTTTATCCCATCGTTTTATCAATACACAATGGAGATACCTTAAAGAGAGGAGAGATTTTCACCCGATGTCGTCCCGTATTGCATCGTAACGAGACGGCACTTTATCGCGTCGGCGATCGATTAAACGATCTTCTCGGGCGCTCTCCTACCTACGAACGGAGAGGGAGAGAGAGAGAGAGAGAGAGAGAGAGAGAGAAATGGACGCGCAGTACTTAAACACTAAACTCCAAAATTATTCGCGGCACGACTAACGGGTGTCCGCGAGCACAGTTGTTACGTTCGCGGAGTTCGTCGGTGGGCTAATACGCCGGCCTTGAGATTCCTCCGACCAGCTCTCGCGAGCGAGTGTTCTCTACGGGATGAGCAAACGAGAGGCGAGGAAGCGAGAGCGTTATCGTCCTGTCATTTGTACTTAGTGGAACCTGACTTGGACGCGATCATTTCCGTCGCCGCCAGCCGTCACATAGTGTCCGGTCAGCGAAGGGACGTATGAATCGTAATTGATTCACGCGGACCCCCCGGCTTTCGGTTGAATGGCGAATACCCCCCCCCCCCCTTTCTCTTTCTCTACCCTTTCTCTCGATAAGCTCCCAATCTTCGGTAATCCCGGCTCGTTTCAGGCCGGCTATCTCTTTCGCCGTCTCCCTTATCGTTCGGTCCTTCCCTATCGCCGTCGTATCGCGGCCGTGCCGTGAATTTCAACCCCCTCGAACAATTCTCAGCATTTACGACGCGCACTTCCCGGAAGCGGACGTATCAAATCGAGAGCCGTCAGGCGGATCGAGCGTTAAAATGCCGCCTTCGAGTGCCGGCGGCGATGGGACGCGGAGAGAGAGAGAGAGAGAGAGAGAGAGACGCGCGAGCGTAAAAATCAACGGACGAACCGATCTTACCCTCGACGAGATCGTATGGGGCGAATGACGACACGACGTTCGGACCGGCGTCCGCGGGAGATCTATACGATCCGACGTCGGCTCGATTTCGGATCGATCGCACTCGCGCACCAGCCGGCCAGCCGAATCGGGGGGCGGGATCATTTCGAAAACGGCGGTAAAAGCGGCCGATCACGGCTCGTCCCTCTCGCGGGGATGGAGGTACGCACCCACTGTGTGAGAACATCACGAATTCGCGCAGCACCAGCAGCAGCAGCAGCATCAACGTGAGCAGCAGCGGATCGTTCGTGCCTCCGTCGAGAAGATAAACCGCGGGTACCGCGCGTGCCCCATTAGCGCGCCACCGGCGGATAACGCGCGCTAATTGCCCCCTAATCTGGCATATCTCGCTTGCACAGGCTCGACTCTCTCAAGGTCACGGGCTCCTCGGATCGCCGGCGTTCGATCGATTCGCACGATTGATGCACGCCGTCACGAGGCTCGTCGCGGCGCGGCGAACGACGGCGCGGTTGATCTCGCACGCGATCCGGCTGCTCGTGCTGTCGTCCGGTCTCGATATCAGGTGTGAGCGAACGGTAAGGAACATGATCGAGGAGGAAGGGTAGCCGAGACGCGCGGCCGAGGACGGCCTCGGATCCTCGCCGAGGTCGCGCACATACACACCACGGGAAAGAAAACGGCGAGGCACACGCGGCTGGGCTCACACGACGGCGGGCGGCCTCGCGTACTACCTCTTCCTCGAGAACGCCGGGACGTGTTTCGCGGTTTTAGACGGTCGACTGCTACCATCGCGTGGCTCGAAAGCTCTGCACCCGTCGCGCTTGCGCGCCGCATCGAGCCGCATCATCCCCGCGCGCTCACACACACGCACTTTTGCCCTTATCAACTTTTGCTCGAGGCACCCCCGGTTTCTTGCACGTGCGTCACCGTCGCGAATATACACGGATGTGACGTAGACTTTCCCTACCGTAACCGACGACGACGTCTCGTGCCGGCCCCGATTATCGGTAATGCGATACGGAGCCTTTTTTCGCGAGACACCTCCCGTGCGCGACCCTGCGTCGTCCTCAAGCGTACCCGCTCTGTCTCTCTTTCTCTCTCTTTCTCCCTGTCGCGCGGACCAAAGAGCTTGATCCGGCTGACTGAATACGCAACCGGCCGATGTGTCCGCGCGAAGCCGCGCGGAAAGACCTCTGCCGCGATTAGGGGCTGGGTGGGTAAAAGGGGAAGTTGGCTAATTAATTATTTCTCTTCTCCAACAGATTGCGGAATCGAGCAAGCAGAGATTTCAAACGTGTCAAAGTCGAAGTCCCCGCTCGCTCGATAATATTCTAATCTGTTCGGAGAACAACAGAAATAATCAATCAGCCAACTAGTCTTCCTCACGCTGCAGGAAGGATTTGGCAACAATTGTCGAGATTTGGCGTATGTGTTTCAATCAAATGTCCGTATGTTTCAAAGTTTCGGGAAAAGAACTGTTCTTTCCCCCATTTTTTCCGCGAATTTTTTTCGGTTTCTGTCCGCAGGGTGTGAAAATTCGTTTGGAAAAATTCACGTTTACTCGGTTAGAAGCCGCCATATTTATTTTTCTCCGTAAAGTAAGAAATGAGAAAAATTCACGGAAAATTCGGTAAAAAATCATTTTTTTCCAGAAACTTTGAAACTATAGATTGTACAAAATATATATGGTACTATAGTATATAGTGCATGGACGATTCGATTGTAGCAACCAAACATTTGATTGAACACATTCACCAAATCTTGGCAATTGTTGGCAGAGTCTTCTTCCAGTGCACGCTCTCGGCTCGCGAATGTTGGAAGAAGATGAATAAATACACACATTCCCACGCGCATTAAAAATACGATTAATTAAACATGACGACTGAAATCGCACGGAAAGCGCGATAGTGGCCGGAACGCCCGCGCGAAAAAGGAAGGCAATTCCGCTCTCTCAAGCTCTCCTCGCTCAAAATATAAGCGAGTACTTACACGGCTCTCGATATTTTTATTATTCGAACATTTCCGCCGGTGCTCGCGCGCGCGCGAGGGATATATAACAATGGTACACTGGGTGGAAATAGCAGGAGACGACGTAGTTTTCAATTAGAAATGCACGACGCGGAATTCCGTCGCAGTTATTTGCGATTTTCCGCGCAGCATCCTTCCGTGCCGTTCTTCGCCTGCTTGTCGTTCTCGCAGCATTCCGGCTTCGAGTCGTTCTTGCTTTTGTCCAGCTTACAACAGCCGGACATGCAGCAACCGCCGGCTGCCTCTCTCGCCCTATTAAAACGCATAACAATGACGTCAGACGGATCGAAAAGACAGGACGGAGGTAATATGCTCGTATGGATCCGCGGTGAAGATCTCATTCAAACGATTCGCCGAATTCGCAATGACGTTCGTACCCTGGTGGAAATTCAACCCCGTGGGTGTCTAGCCACGAAGCAGTATCGCTACCAGCTAATAATGTAACGCTCACTTCTGCTACGTGGCTACATAATGGCTAGGTAAAAAGTTAGCTGGCGTTTAATTGGAACGAAAAAGTGACGACATGAAAATGATGTCAAAATGAAAAAAAAAGAAGTGATCGAAAAATGAGTTTTATAATCAGTTGACGTCATTGTTATTTTCTGTTTTACTTGGACGGCTAAGCAAGATTACAGTTACATTTCCACTCGGGTACGAGTTGAGTTTGCCACGCGAACGAAAGGGAGAAAAGACGTTTCTTTCCGTTTCTTTTTGAAAAACAATGGGACCCATATGGCCGCCTTTTTAACCTCGTCGTCAAGTCGGCAACCAGCGCGATCACTTTCCCGTGGGGCAACAACTCTTTTCGTCCGCACCGCCATCGCTACAACATCCGCCACGCTCTTGCTTCGTGCCGGCGCAACATTTCGAACCGCAACATCCTCCTTGCGCCTGCTTTTCTCTGTGCATTCAGTCGAGTCAATCACTGAATTATGTATCAGACACCCGGAGAGCGCGCCGAGACTCTCGTAAAATCGTTATTGCAAAGCCAGGCGACCATATAGGTTTCGAAATGAGCTTTCTTACTTGATAAAAAGGAAAGGAAAGGAGAGTGAAAGAGAGAGGAGAATGATTTCGGAAGAGCGCAGACAACCGGGTAACCGGAAGGGATATCGAGAATAAACGCCCATGCTGATCGGAAAGTTAAAGCGCTTAATGTGGTCTTTACCTTCTGCTGCAGCAGCCGCCAATGTCCTTTTCCTTAGCAGTCGAAATCTTCTTTTTCTCACCCCTGTGAACACACAATGCGTACCTCGTATTACATACCATCCCACCTACACACGGAGATATATTTATAAATTTATAAAAATACACATATAAAAAGACACACTCACTGTTCACATCGGCAGGTCACCTGACCGGCGTATCCTTTCTGGCCGGTAATCTTGCTATAAAAAATCACGCCGTAGGATTATATATAATGATACGTCGGATATAATCGGTACAGCGTCGTAAATAATTTATACAGTTCAACGTCGCGCCGCCGCTTTCGTCGCACGTGCACACATACTGTGTACGTACACGCAATGCACGCACGAGGAGCGACGTAAGAGGTTAAAAATGCTTGGTCACTTACGCACAATGATCACACATGACGGACTTTTACGGTGTTACCGTGCGACGTTACAATTAAACCGTAACGTAGCGGGGTGCGAAAGTTCGATTACGGAGCGAGAGGCGCTTCGAACAAACAATTCCTTTATCCCGGGGTGAATTTTGAATTGTTTTTTTTTTTTACCGAAACGTGTGGCGTATTGATTGCGTTGGTCGATTTACAGGAATTTTAAACAAACGTTGAGCGTTGCCATGACCGTTCATCTTTTTCCCTTCTAGCGGCATTTCTTTTTCAAGGATATCCCGCACACATATACGATATATACGATACATACATCGTATTTAAGGATCAAAGGATCCGAGAGACTGTATACGACGTTTCTGCATCATTGTTCGTCACGGTGCGGCAATCTGGCTTAAAAACTTGATAACGAGAGACGAAGTATAACCGCGTAATTTTTAAATATCACGCCAAACGATGTAAATAATTATTGTTGCAAAAATAATAAACTGAAAGGAGAAAATGTCACATTCAAGTAAATGTTTGCCGAGAAATATTGAAGTAATTATTTTACTTTGGATCGAGCAAACGTTACTTGAATGTAGCACTTTTTCCTCTCAGTATGCTGCTGCAGTAATATTTACTTAATCTAAATAAAATAATTACTCCGATACTCCTTAGCAAATATTTACGTGAATGAAGCGCTCCTTTAACGTACGCAGAGGAAATCACGAATGAATCTAATATTTTTTTACAGACACTTCGTAATGCGTACTTTTCACGTGATTCTTACGTATATTTTATTTCGGGGAATCGCAGACTGTAAGAAAAGATGATCTTTATTTTTTCTCCTCTTTTTCCTTCTTTCCTTTTTAATCGTACAAGTAACATTTTACGTCTAATCCACACTGTTGCCCCCGTTCATATTTTGCCCGACGCTTATTGCCTTGCGTTACTCGAGTGCTCCGCAATTGTCGATTTTCAAATGAACGATGCGCTTTTCAAGATCTGCAAACAGAACGTGAGTGTCGCAAAAGAGTGAAATGCGAACTGGATTTATATTTGGATAAACTTACGCTCGGTTGCTCCTTAACGTAACACGCAGCGATTCGAAAAGCTTTGTCGCAAGCATTCTCCGACATTTTTCCAGCTGGAAATTTTAACTTCTCGATTAATTCGTTCAACCTTGGTTCACTTTTCGTTCGTTAAACTTTGGATACGTAACGTTATATTTTCCAGAAGAAAGAAAACGGGGAAGGGGGTATTTTAGAAAGAGACACGATGATCAAAGCCGTTATATGATGAGATATATCCGACGCTAAAAGGGACGGAAGGACGTTGAATCGTTAAGTGACGAAAGAACCGGGCGCAATCGGAAAACTTACGAATTGATTTGCATCGATTGAGAATCTCTCTCGACGATTCCTGCATACTACGTGGCAGATGACGCAGGGCTTTTTCGAGATCTATAGTGTTGTCTTCGTTAAGAATGCCGTTTTTCAACATGAAGCATCTCAAGTAACACTTTAATTTCATATCGTCTTGATCAATGTTACCGGCCTTTAATTGTTTCAAGGATACTGGATCAAAGAACACGATTGAGAGAGATAACAAATAAAGTTCCTATTAATCCCAGATAGAACAGAAAATGACGTGGAAATGACGAAATGACGAAAGCGTGATCGAAAGGTGAGATTTATAATTATTATTATTAATATTTCCTCGCCATTTTGACGTCGATCGTTATTTTCCGTTCCATCTCGGAATGCTTGTGCGACACAAAAAGAATCCTCACCCCAGGAAACTTTCGTTTGCCGGCGACAGTCTCGTTTAATATCGGCTCGTGTTTGCACATATAGAATTAAATAAGTTTCAAAATCGCGTTAAAGTAACGACTCGCCTCGTGCTCAATACGTTCGATACTACTCCACGGCGCGACTGATCGAAACTATTTTAAGATCGAGATGTAACTAAGTTGCGAAACTTCAAGTGCAGTGGAAAATGTAAACTTCGCGTACTATAAAGCGTGATTTCATTTAAGTCTTGAAGGAGCACGAAGCGTTAACACTTCCGAGTATTAAAAGGTACTTCTTTTATGTGCGAAATAACGAAGAAAAAACCGCAACGTTCGTATTTATCGTGACGTGAATAGATACTTACTAGCAGGAGCGATATGCCGGTTAAGGTAATGAGAAGTATACTTGCAGTTTTCATATTCACGGTGCGCTTCGCTCGCGGTTCTCGCGATGTTCAAGAGCGTTCCGAAAGAACTGTGCGTCAGGCAAACGCTAACGTTAACGTTAACGAGTATGTATACTTCCTGACACACCGAACACGAAAATTTTATTGATATTTGATCTCTGATAGCGGCGCATAATTCGCGTGCGGTCGTATAAATGTCGGGAATAAAATTGAATGATTGCACGAGTGCCATAGCAATCAGCTTTTACGCGTAACGCATAAAACCGTGCGTCACTTTGTCACGTGTGAAATCGTTGTGAAACGCTTCGAGAATTCCGAATGTTTCTAACGGTCACATTCGACCGAATTATTTTCTCATTTGCTCGTGATCGTGCCGATGAGATTTATCAATTTCACATCGATGAAAAATACACCAGACAACGAAATCTCTTAAATTGAGATATAAGACGTCTTAAAAACATCCTAAAGATGTCTTTCAGACGTTATGTATTAGAAATGTCTTATGCCTCGATTTTAGACATTCTGTTGTCTGGGACGAAATGTAATCGAGTGAAATTCACGTTCAACTATGATCTGTCGAGGACGGTATGACTTACCGTTGAGCACAATCGTACTATTTGAAAGTCAAAGTTGCATCGTTTGAAAGAAGTTTATTCCAGCTGTGTTGCGCACATTGCGACCTCGATTTTTCAATAGAAACGGTGGCGGCTCGTAGCGGAGATATTTAAATTAAGAAAAATGACGGGTAACTTAGCGAAGATTCGAACCTAACTCGATCGAGATCCGAACGCCACCTATTGATCGAGACTCGAACCCCAATGGTGGAATTGCCGTTGCTGACGGGCTATGATTGGTAGTAAAGCTAGTTGTCTTTTCTAGTACTTCATTCTCGATGGTTTGCACCTTCATGATGCCATTTACTACTCCACGTTGACACACGTCAACATGGCTTCGAGAGAAAGTAACCTGACTGCGCTGTACACGGAATTAAATAAATTAGGACAAAACGGGGAATACGAGAGAGCCTTGAAAACCGCAAACAGAAGTGAGTGTTAGAAGTCAATTGTTTACCGTGATAACGTAAAAGACGTCGGTGATTGTGATAAAAATAATCGCTATCTTACTCGGTGCTGCTGCACTTAGCGTCTTTGCGCACAGTGTTGTGTTCATATCTTGTTTTGGAATAATTTGTATTTGATGAAGAATCCCTCGAACACGTACATAAGATATTTTCTTCCGTTCGGAAGTTTAAAATAAAAAAATAATATATTTTGTCATTTAGTCTTAGGCATTTCCCAAGATGAAGAGGCGGCATTACACTGCAAGATCATCTGCTACATACAGCTGTCCAAGTTCAATGAGGCGTTACAAATCATTTTTAAAACCCCCAAATTGGCAGCGTGAGTATTTAGCATGAATTGAATACTAAAATTATTTTGGTGCCGATTTTATATCATATATATATATATATATATATATATATATATATATATATATAATGATATAAATAAATAAATAAATAAATAAATAAATAAATATATATATATATATGTTTCTAATTTGTAACATTATTATTATAAATATTTCAATATATGTAATATTGATGTAATATTAATATTGCAATTTCAATAATACTACTAGTACTATTGTAGTGTAATTTCAAAAGATACCAGCATGAAAACAGTATTTTGATGCTGATTTCAGCCTCCATTATTTAGTGACATTACTTTGTTAAAACAAGACGTATTTGAACAAGTTTTATATGTTTCCTTCTCTATTTTAGGAACTTGGAATTCGAGAAAGGATACTGTCTGTATCGTTTAAATCAAGTTTCTGAGGCACTGCAAGTGATCGAAAATGTACAGAATCCTTCTTTAAAGATCAAGGAATTGAAGGCCCAGATTTTATATCGTTTAGAAAAATACGAGGAGTGTTTCGCAGTATACAGAGACATCATCAAGAATTCGCACGACGAATACGAAGAGGAAAGGGAGACCAATCTCGCCGCCGTGCTTGGCAATCTGGCGGTCGAGGGTTCGGTAAGTTACTCGCGTCGTGAGGCGACAAGAATTTCATCAACATCGAGGCAGGATAACAAAGGAAGTTTTGACTTAATTTGTGATAAAAAAATCGCAGGATTTAGAAGTCCCTTCGTTGCGCGAGCACACTTACGAATTGACGTACAACGCAGCGTGCCGCTTGATCGCGCAGGGAAGTAAGGACGACAGAGCCACGTTGATAGAGGCTGAGAAGAAATTGAAGATCGCCGAGAAAATGTGCAAGGAGGGCCTGGAGGAGGATGGGGCGTCCGAGGAGGAAATCGAGAATGAACTGGGCGTAATTCGAATACAGCTCGGTCATTGCCTGCAGTTGCAGGGGCGAGAGAAAGAAGCGCAAGCGTTGTACACGGCTGTTCTGAAAGCCAAGCCGGACGATATCGCACTGGTCGCCGTAGCCAGCAACAATTTGGTATGCCTGAATAAGGATCAAAACGTCTTCGACAGCAAAAAGAGGATGAAAAGTGCCACTCACGAGAGTCTGGAGCACAAGTTAACCTCCAGACAACGGAGAAACATCACGTACAATCAGTGTTTACTAGCGTTTTATACCGACCAGGTAAGCCTATGTCGTACAGACGATAATAAGGCGCGGTTCACTCGTCAGTCTCGTTGTTCACAGAGACAAAATGCGTCTGTGTGTGTTTTCCAGGGTGAACAGTGTCACCAGCTGTGCAATAACCTAGCGAAAGGCGCACTCGCGGCGGACGCGATGTTCGTGAAAGCTGTGCAATTTAGCAAGGAGGGTAAAGCGCTGGACGCGGCAAAGTTGTTAATCCGACATGCGGACGGCGAGAAGGAACTGCCGATGAAATTGGCCGGCGTGCAAGTACTTCTGAGTCAGGACCAGAGGAAAGAGGCGATCGCCATCCTCGAGGATCTAAACGAAAGGGACAGATCTCTGCCGGGAATAGTCAGCGCGCTCGTAACGCTTCACACGGCCGACAACAATCGCGAAAAAGCGTCGGAGGCTCTGAAGAACGCGGTCGCTTATTACAAGAAAAACAAAGTAGGCGCGTTTAACAGACACGATACATGCGCGCACGTCGATATTTTCCCACGTGTTACACGAAGAATCTTCTCCCCTTTCAGGAAACCAACAAGAATCTGGGGGAATTATGGCGACAGGCCGCTAATTTTTACTTGCGGAGCGGGGAACTGCAGATCGCTGCCGACATTCTGCAAGAACTGGTCGACGCTTCGCCGTCGGACATCAAGACTTTGGCTCAGTTAGTGGTCGCTTATGTCCAATTTTGCCCTACTAAAGCGCAGGCGTTGTCGAAACGGTTGCCGCCGCTTCACGATCTCGCCGAAACCATAGACGTCGACGCGCTGGAGAGCAGCAATTGGGTAATCGGGACTAAAGTGGTCAAGAAGAAGGTGGAACCTGCTCCTGGGTGAGTACGATTGTCTCCTACGTCGAATAGCTCGGGATCGTGCGTGTGACTCGCGATTCGTTTCACCAGGAAACCAGTGTTAGACGCGGTGCAAAAGAAGCAAAAGAAGAAGCGCAAGCGCAAGGGTAAGCTGCCGAAGAACTATGATCCGAATGCCCCTCCGGATCCGGAGCGATGGTTACCGAGACACGAGCGCAGCGGATTCCGTAAGAAACGGGACAGGAGGAACAGAGACGCCGCCATGAAGGGAACTCAGGGAGCCGCCACGGGAGCCAGTGATCTTTAGTACGTATATATCGAATGAATCATGTCTTCTCATTATGTGATTAAGTATTAATGCTGTCAATGTAATCCAGATATCTCGATACTCGCGAGCTTCAGCACACATACACACACATAGTCGGTAGATTAATGATTGCAACACTTTCTTTTCCCGTGAATTTCGCAACAAATCCACGTCCAATAGAAGAATTGGTTTTTTAATCTCTCAAAAGATAAGCTATCTTGTCAAAAGATACGCTTTTCTATTCGATACGAGATTTGCGAAACTCATAAAGAAAAATAATACAACCTTCAATCTGCCGACTGCGTGTATGTGTCCGGGTCTTTCGGGATTACCCGGCTACCTGAACACCTATATTCACGGATATTACCCTGATAGACACTCGAAAGTAGTAACGAGTAAATAATTACGAGTGTGCGATACATTCCGCTTATTTGTTATCATTAGAAAAATTAATAATTTATAACGTTCAAAATTAACCGTATATTCAGTTACCCTGGTAATCCCGAAAGACTTGGGCGCCCAGTTAATCGAAATTGATTAGCAAGTAATGATATTGTCATTTTTGTAAAAGTAACAATTTTAAGTAACTTTGTCCTCGCTTATATAGTGACATCACCAAAATGCCCGCGAATGCCAAGCCTTCTCCGAATCCTCGTCACAGTCCGGCGGTGGAGACCTCCGGTCCACGTCAGCAACAACGCAAAGTCCAACAGAAGAAGAAGAAGAAAGGCAGCAAGTGGTAACGATTTTGATCGAATCGCTATGTTAAACTCTAAATTTTCTCGATATGTATTAATTAGATTGTATAGTCTACTGGAAGGGGGTGAAAGAAACGTTTCTTACTGTAAGAAATACAAAAACAAGAGCAATCAAATGCATTTGCTACCGTGTAGCTGTATTTTACATGAGTGGAACGCAACATTGGGATATATATGAAACATATAATACTGCCATCGAAAGAAACAAGAGGAAGGATAGGATACAAGTATGAAATGCGCGATGTATTATTAAGAGAGCACGTTTTAAATCCCTCCGCCGGTTGTCCGCGCGTCAATTTATCATCCGCGTATCTAACGCCGCATCTTGATGCACGCAATGTAGACTATATATCAAACTCAACCCGTTAATTTTCATTATTGTTGTAAACTACATTCTGTCATCGGCGCTTTTTTCTTTTTATATTTCGCAAACTCACCCTGTTTGGGAAACTCGGAGAGAAGCAATATGTAAATACAAAGTTTAAGCTAAAAATTTGAATTGTGCTATATAAAATATTTTTATTTCCTTCTCAAACGTTCCTCTCAGTCAACTCGTCACATATCAACACATGTAAATAACATATCTTTCGCATACATTGACTAGGGGTAAGCGATACACACATCTTTACGTCTTACTGATAACAATTATATATAAAAAATACAATCTGTTTTCATTCTCTCTCGGTTTCTTTCTCGTGTGTTACTCGGCAACTCTTAATCTGCAATATGAATAGGTAATGTGATTGTGCGTTGATTTGTAACATTTATGTAACAGACATTTATATAAGTGGCACGAGTCAAAATTATAAACGTTTCATGTCGTGATATCACTTATAATGCTACCATCTTTTTGATAAATATATCAAGTTCTGTCATCGGACTATACAAGATCTTGCGAAGATGTATTTTTGATATATCGCTACGAATCGATGTATACGTGAAAGGGTCGCATGTTACTTCTTAACTGCATCTTAACTTATTGTCTCGCGATTAAAACTGCACTACACATTATCACTCGGTTTGTCGCGTATAAACTCATAACATCGTGACAGCCGTCGAGATAATAACGTTACAAAATATCTCATTTTTCTAAAAATGTTACAAGTGTCAACTACTAAACGCATTAGCTTCGTTTTTTCACGTCGGTTGTAAAAAAAATTGCACTCTCTCTCGTGTCGAAGGGCGTACCGCCGATATTTTTCAGCCTCGGCTGTCTCTTCATGCTGATACGCTTATAAAACGTTATCCGTAAAAATATCATCATCTTACCCGAGTATGTAAAAGAGATAACTATTCGATATCATAAATGATCAGATAATTTAACGGTCGCGCTATCTTCTGTGTGTGTATACTGAATCATCTGCTGACAAATCATCGCGGATGTCAGAGCCGACTTGTTGAATTAGCAAATGTATTCATGCACGTATGTTTGTGTTTGTGTGTTTGATAAATCGTTTATTTGTAACTAGAACTCAAAGGATAAATAAGTAAGGCACAACTGTACGTGCAGACGCTTCGTAAGGGCGCCTGCGATCTCAAAAGGAGTATACGCCGAGCGAACGAACAAACGAACGAAACGACGTTCGTCGTCTGTCCGTCTCTCTCTCTCTCTCTCTCTCTCTCTGCACATCGAACATTTGCTTACGATTAGATTCGGCACTCGTCGCATGCGGTGCAAAAAACGCAGGAAAGGCAAGGTTTATTGCAGTTGCTGGTTTGGAACGGGAAAACAAAAGCACAACGATGTCAGACATCTTCGTATCGCGTAGGCTTTCTTCGATGCGTCGTTTTACAAGCGGATCTTCGATCGGCCGATCTCTGACAGATTCCACTCCGACATGCGCGTTCTCCGAAATGCAGCGTTGAAAGCTCGCTGTTCGTTCATTCAGCGCATATCCACCAGGCTGGATCTACAATAGATGAACCCTTTGCTCTAAGCGCTAAATCGTTATTCCCAGCAAAAGCTTTTCCAGCGCCACCGGAGGTCGCAATTCCTAAGATTTAAATATTAATACGACTTTTTGGCAGCGTCTTAAAGAATACGTCACATTTGATTGCTTAGAGATAAAGGCCCTACTACACCTATTGTAGGTCCGGACTTAAGCGTCATTGACCGTGCTGGTACGAGAATAACACTACGCGAGTCATGTGAACTACATCAACTACGCAGCCGCGATGACATGTACAAAGTGTGTAATACGAGGAGGTACAAACGATCCTTATGAATATTCCCATGTGAGTAGGACGAAATGCTACTTCCCGGGTATTATGCCTTCCCAGACGTCTTCTCGTTGTTTGTTGGCTAATCGTCTCTTTTCTGCAATGCGAAAGAATCATTTCAATAGCTTTATTAAGAAGCACCCCTGCGTCCCCTTTGAAAGCTTAATCAATATCACACACACACATACACAGCAGATGATAGGTTCTAACACTTTTTTTCAAAATATTATAAATATGAAATTTGGTCTAACCGAAGGAGGAAAGAAATTACGGGCGTTGAAAATCCAGATTTTATAGCGACATTAATTAATTATTGATTGTCAATATCAATATGTGTGTGGGAGGATATAATGTGGGAGAAATAACGCATTCACCGGGTTATTTCCCGCTCTACATACGTGGAGAATCCTTGCATGTCAAGCGTATTCTTTATCCCCAATTATTAATATAATTCACCGATTAATCCGACCCAGGGATTTATTTAAATCCATACTAAGCGTTGCAGAAACTACCTCAACCAGGAGACGGGTCTGAATCTCCCACGGGCATATTAATATTGACAATTTAATACTTTTAATACTTTTAATGGCCCTATAAAAACCCGTGCTTTCGCTCCTAAAGGCTCGTAAATTCCTTCTTATTTTTTGTTTTCGACGAGTTTCGCAACACACCTCGTATCCAATAGAAAGGTATATCTTTGGACGATTATTAAAAAAAAACAAATTCTCCTATTGAATATAAGATGCGTTGTGAAACTCGCCGGAAAAAAAGGTGTTGCAACCTCTAATCTGCTGACTGTGAATAACCGCTTCTTACATCACGGAATTATGTAACAGCGGAGAACCAAAATTTACCTTTCGCCTCGCGCAATACGTTCTTCTCGTGCTCGCGTTCTTGCCTAGCCGTGGCGAGCTTCACGCCCAACGCACCCGTGACTAATCTCCTAGCTAAGGCGGCGCACGTCTCGGGACGATTCCTATAAGGTTGCAAAAATTCCGCGCTTTTTCTCGCCTTCGTTTTGCTCAAAGCGCTAGCTTCGCTGAGTGGTCTCGTTTTCACAAATGGATGATTGGACGCTAACACTTCGGCGGCTTAAAGAAAAATCAAAGAAGCGAAAAGGAAATACAGCTAACTGCGGCAACAACTGCTGAACGTAAATGTTGACTGTCAGTTATTACGATATCACGGCTTCGAGTAATTGTACCGTCAGTACCGAAGTCGTGCAAAGCGACAGCATGATTTCTCTCATGGTTAAATCCCTCTCTAAGTCCCAATCTCATTCTGTTCTTCGACGAAAGAACGTACGGACTTGCATATCACGTAATTTGACGAAGTAACTACATAAATAGTGAAGTTTGCATACCGATGAGAGGACTGCTGAAGACTCCTAAGCAGTGGGTGTCGTCCACCCACTTGAGTTCGAAACCACCGTTTCGGAATGGGCTGAAAACGGCCGCCAGATCGCTAGTCTTGAACTCGGAGGGAAAATTGTAGATCTCCACAACGTGTGCGAACTCGTCACTAGACACCTGAACCTGTTTGCTGTACGCCTTGTAATCGTTCTTTGGTTGTTCCACCATTACCTCACCTACTGCCGACGTAAGCTGTGTAAAGAGACAGATAATCGACATATTCGACATGAGAAAAAAAAGACGAGGATTGATTGCAGCGCTTCAAATTATCAATGGTGAACATGCATTTGTAAGGCTGTGCTCGGAAATATCGCCCTCAGGATAGAGCAGGGTGGAGGCTTTGCTCCGAATGCAAATAATTTCCGAACGCACAAACAAACCGGCTCACATTGCCAGTATTTGTATACATCGATAGTTTATCTTTTATAATAGTTTTTCTTTCGGAGCCTTGACTGGTTACTTAAATATTATCAAATACTATCAAAGATTCCTAAAGATAACATATTGGCTGGTTCTTCGTCAACATATAACGTTTACGATAAAATCTGTTCTACTTGAGCTTCGACAGGTGCACGTAGTTCCCGAACGCAATCTAATAATACACACGGCGTACACCGACCTCTTCTATTAGCGTCGGGTCCAGACAATCGCCGTTATCGTCGAACAAACTGTCCCAATCGCACTCGTCTCTGTTTATCTTCAACGGCGGAGAAGGTGGCGGGGCTGGTTTGCTCTTCGGTCTCTCGATCTTCTTCACTTTTTTCTCGGGCGACGTTAGAATCGCAGGAACTTGCTCGGTGTGTTTCGGTTTCTTCTCGACGGCGTCAGAAATGACCAGGACGTCCGATATCACGTTCCGCCCGACCAATCGTTCGTCCTTATCGCTCGTCGTATCGTTGCCACTTAAACGCTCCGCCACTGGCTGGTTCTCCAGCACGGTTGGCTGCGTCGTTTCTAATTCATGTCGATCGTCCGCTTCAATCTTATCGGGTGGCTCTGATAGACTGAGATCAGTGTTACTTTCGTTAAGGCTACTAGTCGCCATGGATTCCATCCGTTTCGCTAAAATTGGCACATCCTCCTTCGGTACTTCCGGCAGTTCACGCGTACGTTCGGCAATTATGCACGGATCGCGCGTCTCGTGACTGAAGGTCTCGCCGGAATCTACGGGAACCACATCCTCCGAAATATCTCCTGGCAATCGATTATCCTCGATCTTCGTAACGTGACTCTCGGACACCTTGTTATCCGAATTCAAGTCGCCTATACTTTGCTGGATGCAGCACGCATCTTGCGCTTTGGAATTATTATTCGTATTTGGATCTTTGTTCGGTGTGGCGTAATTTGTACAAGATTTTTGGCTTCGCGGCCTCTTCTCCTCGGCTTCTAGACTCCTTCGGTGCCTGGGTATATAAACTGCTCGGTCGGGCCGTCTTTGCCGGGTATTTCTGAAGTTGCAAACACGTCGGCCAATATCAACGTTAGAATACCGTTCGCGTCAATCTTATAAAACGATGACGTCAACAGAGCGAGAGATAAAAGTGAATATTAGGATGACTTTACGTTATATACAAATATTGCGAATGACGGTAAGCCTTACCTGACCGAAGGGGAATCCGTAGTCGGCTGTACTTGCACGTGTGGGCCGCTCATCTGCGAGCAATAGGCTCTCCTAGCTGCTGGCGGCCTGTAGATTTCGACCGCTGGTACCGATTTGGCTGAGAAGCAAACGAAAACCCCGAAATCTCTCACAATTCGGCTCTCAAGACTTCATCTCGATTTTATTCATCTCGGACTTACTAATTGTAATTATAACGTTGAAAAGGGTCTGAAGGAAACTAACATTTGTAACATTTGTACGTTTTTTTTGAATTTCAAAAAACATAACTCAACATTATTAAATTGAATTACATCAACCGTACATTAACACATCTCGATCTCGCGTGTGTAGGTTTTTATAGATCGGTCTTCATAGTCAGATCTTATATTTAATTAATAATATTAAGATCGTCTTATGTACATCTTCGGATATTCCTTAGCGAATGAAATAAGCCGTACAACATCTGAGGATGAACTTAAAACGATCTTGAATATAAGATCTGACTGTGAATACCGGCCTGAATTATAATTGGGATTGTTCATCTCGATCGACTCGAGCTCATAATCACCTTGTCGCTGTATTTGCGCGTGTTCCGGAGACGTCGAGGACGATCGTCGGCCTTCGACACCCATCCTGCGAGTCGTATCCACTTGTCTCGCAGCCGGAGGACTCACCTTCGGCTCAGGGGCATTCGGTTTCGGCTCCCAGTCACTTTAACAATAGAAAACAATATTAAAGTAAAAGCACCAATGTCCGGACACGTACCTAAAAACCTGAACATTCTCATTACTTCGGCCTTTAAATGCAAATATTTCAACGTTCAACATAAAGAATACACGTACATATTGAATGTATGTGCACAGATTCAAGGTCGAAAGTTTCGATGTTCGCAGTTAAGAACCAGAACAATAATAACGTCCACGTTTAGGTGCATACCCGAGTATTGGTATTTTTACCTAACGTAAGGCCTTGAGACTACAATATCGAAGAGTGTGTGGTGTATCGTGAGGGTAATGATCGCGATCTCTCTCGGGAGGCACTTCGATGGGGCAACAATCGAGGGGCGATCGGAGAACGACCGGCCGATCGACTTTCATTCGCGCAGGGCAATCATACGCTCGTCGTGCGGTCACGTACGATGAAACAGCCGAGATCAGCTGATCACGAGGGGACATCGCTGGCGGCAACGCGATCAAACTGAACGCGGGGGAAGTCATCGACGAGAGAATGGGAAAAGTGAATGAGAGCTCGCGAGCGTTCTCGCGGATAAGGTGGCGGCGGACGTTGTAGCTCCTCCGCACCGGGGGATGACAAATCGCGAGGAAAGGATTTCGAGGGGAAGCGGCGACTCGGCTCTCTTCCGCTCGCTCTCGAGCAGGTACCTTCTCAAGTCGCTCTTGTAGCATATCACGGTACGCCTGTCCGCGCCCTGGCCGATCGAGAACGTGTGCAGCAGCTCCGAGAAACGCTCCTGCACCAGCTGGTGTATTATGAATCGGCGATAGTTGTTCACGGGCGGAAAGACGAGCGCTCTGGAAAAGTGAAAAGAGAGAACACGTTTCCACCTGAAAGTGAGACCGACGCGGAGAAAGAGAGAAGGAGAGACGAGGCGCACCGCTCGGTCGTCCGCGGCATCGCCAGGTATATCTGGCCAGGTATCGTTCGTTCGCCTCGGCTTTGGTGAACGTAACGCCTTACGTCGCGCTCGGCACCTCGCGGAGAGGGGGACAGGCGAGCGGGGCCCGGGCGCGGGAGAGGACGGGGCCTTCTTATAACCGCCAGCTAACTTTTACGTAACCCTTTCACTTTCTCCTTCGTCGGTTTCTCGGGAATTTCTACGCGGCGAGCGGCCTGCCGAATGTTTTCTTTCCCCCTTCCTTTCTCTCTTTCTCTTCCTCTTTCCCGTCGTTCTGCTCTTTTCTTCCTTCTTAACCAGCGTTCTCGCGTTTTTAATGAACGGTGACACTCGGTATTAATTAATGTGTATTATTAATGCGCGTCTCTCTTTCTCTCTCTCTCTCTCTTTCTTTCCGAGAGCATTACGTCGCAGCGACCGCGGGCGAAAGTGTCCGCTCACTTCCTCGTGCGTATCCTTTAAACGCGGGGAATTTCGCGAGCGACCGGTTTGTACCTGCGCCGCCTTGTGCCACCTTGAACTACAATGAAGAAATAGAGTGCGCTGCATTATCACGTAAACACGTGGTTACGAGCGATTATCGGCTGGCGTGACCACGTGTGCGTGCGAGCGACTGCGAGTGTCAACGTACCGCAACGCGAGGGACGACATGTGAACGCCGAGAATTAATTCGAGACTTGCGCAGCACGATTCGTACGCAGTGCACACAGATACGTGGACGCAAATCGGTACAAAAGCGGCGGCATGTCGCGAGAGGTGATGGAATCGTACCGTTTCACGCGAATCGCCAGCGAAGTCGACACATGTATTTCGTTTCCACAAGCCTGTGAATATTACAAATCGTATCAAAGGCCTGCGAAGGATTCATCCGAGCTCGGCTGTTATCGGCCCAAGAGATGAGTCATCTCACGGATGAAAGAATTACCTGAAAGCTGGCAGATAATCGTGGATAACAACGGTAGATATTTTGAACGTGATATGCGTGATACTTTGTTATTATTAATCGAAAGAAATATGGCTGAAAACCTGGCGAACTTCTTGCCATGCCCCCCGATATTATGTAATTTCCAATAACAAGATACGAAGATTAAAGACATTTGTTACTCAGTTATTTGTGTATATAGCGGACGAAAAAGGAACCGTCCCCTTCCTCGGGCTAATCCCGCACCGAGAGGAATGTAACGCACTTCGTTTGATGCGAATAAAAGCGGCGTCCTCCAACGGGGACGCGCTTCTCGTCGCGATACTTCTCTCCTTTGTGTAAAATTATCCCAGGGAGTGCGGCACGTGTGCGGATATCTTTCTCGCTCGCGGCATGTGCACTAAGCCCGCTGGTGTGACGTACCAAAATAGCCGAGATTAAGCCACTCGCTCTGCGCGTACCTCACGGGGATGGCCCCCGTGTCGTGTCGAAGCTAACCTGCAAAGAACGGCCTCGACATCGTTTCGGGCTCGACGTCGAGCGTCACGCGAATCATTCCCGTACCTCTTGCGCGTCTTACTCCTCGCGAAAGTGGTCACGTCGTCTTCGACATCTTCGGAGAACAGGCTATCTTGCAAACTCATTTATCAGTCCCTGGCGCGCGTTCACGACGATGCGCTGTCCCGGCACGGATTCACCGTTACCCGTCGCACAAAATACCACCCTCGACCCCGGGGTGTCGATTTCGTCGAGCCGTTATCGCGAACGCGATATATTACACAACGAACCGCCGCCGAGTATACGCGCTCGACTGCGCTGTATTTTTGTAAAACGGAAACTAACGACCTGTGCACACGGCGCGCGACGCTACGCCGCGCGTGGGAGGGGAGCGACCGCGGCGGCCAATCGGCGTCACGCACGGCGTTCCGGCGGGGACGCCGATTGATTGGCCGCCGGATGCAGATACAACCGGATGCGCATGAGATCCGTTCGGTTTGCCTGGAACTTCCCCCCGTTGCTGTTTAGTAAGAGACACGAGTCTAATTATATCGTCATTTAGCTGAGAAAATCATATTTAAGGTGCTTTTTGATGAAAGACAGTTCAGGATACAGGCGGTTAAGCACACTCACTAGATCTTGGCCGATGAAATGATAAATATTCGAATAAATTCACTCGCTTTTGCAATTCTCACTACATTTTGAGATACACAATCGACCGCCAAATGAAAAAATGCAACTACTCGTCAAGCTGAAAAGAACAGACCTGTGTAATCGCATCCGGTTCGGTCGTGAGATTTCCAAATCGAACGCATCGCGTTCAGGCATTCGCAAATCCCATGATTGTTCATTAAAAAAGATTTAATGATTTATTTTTGTCGTTAATTACTTATTTTTTAACCTGACGTTTCATCTGCCATACGCGCATAGAATAGTAATTCAATCACGTGGTAAGGCAGGCTTCAGTATTGGTGCAATTATACGGATGTACGTACGTAGATTCCAGTCACGTAGGTGCCAGTCGTTATTAACCTATCCTCGGTGCATTTGAACCGGAAGTGCCCGATTTCGAATTAAATGAAAAACATGTGTGTCAATGTACATATGTGCGTGTGTGCACACCCGGTGACACTGAGAACCACTGCGTGTCACGAGATAGTACAAAAGTGTAACGTATAATCTTAATGAGAGAGAGAGGTATTTGCGTCACTTAGGTTAATTTGTGTAGTGGTGCAAAAACCATAATACATGTACACACATATGCAGAACGGACTCTGCAATTGACGGCGATAGTCGAGTCGCAGATTTTAAAGCAATCTTGGAGCGCGCGAGGGCGACTCTGATTCGTTGTTACTTCCCAGCCGTCTCCGCCTGCCTACAGTTTATCGGTATTCCGAAAGTTCTTAGTTTATATCGTTACAATTGCGAACGGATCTTCCACAGTGAAACCAAGGAAACACTTCATTGTCATTCCTCGCGTTGAATCCGCTAACATTATTATTTGTATCGTGTCGACGATCATCACGACGACATGACTACCAGATTCACCGGGATAAAACTAGGACCTCCCATCGAGGTTTTCGCGCTGCAAAAAGCATTCGTCGACGACAGTTACGAGAATAAAGTTAATCTTAGTATAGGAGGTACGTACGGTCGTTTTATTCTTTACCATCGAGACGATCCGTTGTTAATATTATGTCCGAGTTACATTTTATGTATAAGTATGTGCATATTTGTGTGTGCGCGGCTTCTAAAAATATATTTTATTACGAGTTAATATTCGCAAATAATAAGTATAAAATGATACGTGTAACATATGTTTATTTCCATTTATTTAGCATTTTCTCTGATCACTTCCAGAATGATTATGTAATGGGTTCTATGCGTATATCTATATATACATACACATTCACATACATGAGTCTTTCTTTTACACGATTATTTTAAGAAAATAATAAATAGATTAGAGTGGAAGTAATGAAATATCTGTTATGAAATAACTCTGACAAAATTCTTTTCATTTGTACCATATAAATATGAACTCTAATTAATTTCTAATTAGTTTCTAATTAGTTTTTAAATTATTATATATAAAGATATATATATATATATTTTTTTTTTTATTGTAATATATATTTTTTGAGATGCAAATATCATGAGCTATATTAATGACTAATTTGCATTTCCCTTTTGATTTGATTCTTTCATTTTAAACTGGCTATTATATTAAATCTGTGTTGCATCCTATTGCTCAGTCCTGGAAAATTCACACTTTTTCAGCTTATCGTACCAGCGAAGGTAAACCATGGGTTCTACCAGTTGTAAGGAAAGTGGAAAAGTCACTAGCTGCTGATGACCTGCAGAACCATGAATACTTGCCAGTTCTTGGCTTAGATGCATTCAGCGAGGCTGCTACAAGTATGTTACTGGGTGCAGACTCTCCTGTTATCGTTCAAGGACGTGCCTTTGGTATTCAGTCACTCTCCGGTACAGGATCACTGCGTGTTACCGCAGAATTTTTGAACCGTGTTCTGCAATACGATACCTTTTACTATAGTAAACCTTCCTGGGGTAAGTAAATGCACTAGGATGATATCGGTATTGTCCCACTTTATTGGTGGTGGTCATTGTTGGTGAAAAATTGTCGTGTATTGTAAGATTATACGCTGGCAGAAAATCACAGGCTGGTATTCACTAACGGAGGATTTAAGCACGCTCGTGAATACACGTATTGGGACAAGGAGACACGTAGCATCGACATCGAGGGCATGCTCAGTGACTTGAGAAACGCTCCGGAGAACGCAGTTATTATTTTGCACGCCTGCGCGCATAATCCCACCGGATGCGATCCGACTCCGGAGCAGTGGGCCAAGATAGCTGACGTGATAGAGGAGAAACGGCTCTTCCCATTGTTCGACAGTGCGTATCAGGTCAGTAACCAATCTCCGATAGCTGACACCTGCGTGATACGCTCAGGTAAAGTGACACGTTGAATCCTAACAGGGTTTCGCGAGCGGTGATCTGGACAAGGATGCGTACGCCGTACGAATGTTCGCCGAGCGTGGAATCGAGTTCATCTGCACGCAAAGCTTCGCCAAGAACTTCGGATTGTACAATGAAAGAGTCGGTAACATTGTTTTCGTATTGAATGACACGAAGGAGCTGGTGCAGGCCAAGTCGCAGTTAGCGTTAATCATACGAGGGATGTACAGCAACCCTCCTAATCACGGCGCCCGAATCGTCGCGACGGTGCTGAGGAATCCAATCCTCTTTGAGGAATGGTATTACCCGTTCTGTACATCTTTTGCAGGATGATCGTTCTGATCGTTTAAATAATGGGCTACTCGACATTTTTAGGAAGGAGCATATTAGAACAATGTCCGATAGAATCAAAGAAATGAGAATAGGTTTGCAACATAGACTGCTGAAACTAGGCACCCCGGGCGTTTGGGATCATATCGTCCAGCAGATTGGGTTGTTCTCGTATACAGGACTCACCGGTTAGAGATATACCGTTAATCTTCGAGTTCCGTTGAGTCTCGTCTACAGTGCAGTCGCAGGAGAGTGGATAGGATTCATTTGAAGCTGCAGACGCTTAAAGAAAGAATATGATTGGTCGGATACGGTACTTCAAAGTATTTGCAAACGTGAAGTGGACTCTACCTGTGACTTTCTTGTGATCGCACTGTAGACGAAGTTTTATTGTCCCTGTAAGCAGGAAAGAGACGTTACGAAAAGAAGTCTACGATGAATTCTTTTCAGAGAGGCAAGTGCAGCATTTGAGAAACCATTATCACATCTACATGCTACGCAGCGGCCGTGTAAATATGTGTGGGCTTAACGAATCAAATTTGGACTACGTGGCGGGTGCAATCCACGAAACTATAACGCTGTTGCCGGAAACACGGGACTTACATTGTAAGTGTTAAGACGCACGGACCTCAATAACATGTTATAAGTACAAATTAACGATCGAGTCTTGTTATTGAAAGAATATAGCAATATTTTGTATGACCGACTTGAGATTTTGTATGACTCACTCGGAGAAACTTGGTTTGGGTAATGTAGAAATCCGTTGCACGAAGTCGTACGTTCCGCCTTCATAATTGAAACATAAGCCTTCCCGTAAGTGTCTTTTCAAGGACCCTCCAAAATCAAGAGGAAATATGTCTTGATTTCTCCACTGATAAATTGTTCTCTTCTTCCGTTGTCACGACATTTCAAGAGACAAAAGTATAAATTATTGCAAAATATTACAAAATGCCAAATTTTTATTATGTATTAATTACGTCACTTTGTTACTTTGAGACTTTTTTTTACATACAGTGCTATTATCGAAAGTTTACAAACAATTGCTAATTTGAAAAATCGTGAAAAAAGTTAAATAAAAAAGTTGAATATTTCCAATATATATATATATAAACCCTTAAATTTATAGATATATAGGTATAATTTGTTTAATGTTACAAGAATTTTATACTTTAAAATATTTTATTACACAAATTTCCATCACAATGATTGCTATGGAAAAAAAGTGCAGGTAATTTTCTGAAAAGATTCACAAAATGAAAAATGTATTTTTTCACGTACTTTGATAACAACTTTTATTCTTAGTAATTTTATGCATCTCTTATCTGGGGTATATATATAAATTTATTTGTATTAAATTTTAACGTACTTCTATATTCTATAATGATAATATTGAAGTGATCATGTTAGAATACTATTTGTTTGTTGATATGAGTTAATATGATAATATTCTTTTATTTATCTTTCGGCACGTGCATGAAAAAATCAGGTTGTTTCATGTTACGTTGCTGACTGTTGAAAAGGCCAAAAACACGTAAGGTGCTTATAGATATTTAAAACTCGCGTTGGTGCTATAGAATTTAATAAAAGAATTGTGCTACACGGTTCATTGATACTCACTGATCCTCCAATTCACATAGTGGGCTTCCTCGTTTATTTTGATAGTGTATATGTATGAAAGCTAGAATTCATATCATACATATGAAAGTTCTATATATTGTAGCAAATACATTGATAAATATAAGTTTGGTACTAAGAAACACTTACACATGAAAAAGATCATATTATATCAAGAACGTACATAACAAAGCAGTTAATAATGTTTGAATATATTCTTGTGGTAATTTTGTCGATAAATCAGGATCAATTTCTATATAATGCTAGCCAAAAAATTTACAGAGGATAGATACACAATAGAAATGATTAAATAGAAATATTCTATACTGCCAATATGCCAAAATCCCCATTGGAAGAACTTATATAATTCTATACAAACAGCTGCGTACATCGATATTTTATATAAAAATCTAAAATTCTAAATTATTGATTCATGTGTGTTACATAATTTTATATGTTAATCTTCGCATTGATTAATGTATAATACAATCTTTATAATGTAATGTTATATGAAATGTGTGTGAATAACGATATAATTTGAACTGGGAATACTATTTTTATTATACAATGTATTATTAGATATCATAGATTATATTTCAATAAATAAAAATCTTAACAAACATTTTACCCAAGATGTGTCTATTGATTGACCCATATTAAATTTATGTATCTCAATATTTAGATGATAGTCATTTAAATTCTACTAAACTATAATTATCACCTAAACATCTAGATTTCTAGTTACGAATAAAATTATGAAATCTCTGAGTAACATCCGATAACATTTGATTTTGTGATTGTGCAAAAATGATTTTGCGATATAACAAGATGCAATTACCTTGAACTTTTCAGCTCATGTATATACACATATATAATAATATATACACATATATTATTAGAATTCAAATAATCAGTTACAAAATACTGTAACAAATTGGCCATTGACATTTCCTATTTAGTCTGTCCATTTAGATTTTTTCTTCACTAGTACCACTGTATCGTCCGATTTAACTATAGCTTGATAATCGTCTCTCTTGTGATTACGATTCATGTAAAACATGTATCCTGAACAACCCAACATTGCTATAACACCGAAAATCATGATAACTTTGTTCTGTGGATGAAATGAACAAAAAATCAACTTTAATAAAATCAATCTTCCTCATTAGGTTTCGCTATTAATATTCGATATCAATGTATAACCTCACCGGCTTGACATATAATTCATAATTCACGGCACGGAATAACAAAGTGCTTCGCAATGATCGTAGGCCATCACCTGGAGTTGTTTCACGAGTATTTTTACTCATTTTTACCTTCACGCAAAATTTGACATTCAACACTAACCGAACACGTTTAGTTTGTTCTTTTTAACTGAACTGACTACACTAGTCAAGAAATGTACGCACACTGAAGCGTGATAATCTCGTATGTACACTTCATACGTTTCAATAGCATGCAAATTTCTCGAAGTATGCAGTCAGTTCGAAAGAACAGACCAAAGGATAGCACATGGACGTACGAACTTGTCCATTTGAGGATATCCCTAGAGTGTCCACAAATATATATCCTATGGACATCTTATCCATAAGGCCTATGGACATCCTAGAAATGGACTAGAAATGGACCCAAAACGGATATCCATAGGATATCCTGTGCTGTGGGAAGTTACTTTAATTTATTCTTTAATTTTACACATGCATATCTTTTTATTTACTTGTGAGTTTTTATTAATATCTATAACGATTATTTTCCTGGTGTTTTGCATTCGTTGAAAGTTCAGGAGAGAGAGAGAGAGAGAGAAAAAAAAAAATCAATTACTCCAGGGAGAAAATTAGAAAGCCACTGTGTGATTCCGTGTTTGATGAACATAGTTGTCTCTCGCACGCGGCTCATCGCGAACGCGAACATGCCCATCTCGATGTCCTCTCCTCTCGGCAACCGAGGCGCGAGCGAGGTTAAGGACGGTACATATTGGCGAGGTTATCAGGCTTGACCGGCATCGTTGACGCACATCACTCGAGATGGTAGCGATGAGAATCAATCGTCGGAGCAAGATGACAACCGCGGGGCGACCGCGTCGTGCGACGGTAACGTGGTGCTTTTAGGGCCGCTTCCTCGTGCGCGCGCGCGTGCACGTTGCTCGTGTTTGACAGCTAGCGTCGACAACACAACCACGACGACGACGACGAAGGAGACGGGGAGGCCGACACAGTGACGGGAAACATGTTCGTGTACATCTGGTCCTTAGTATGCTGGTACCTGAGGCCCTTCGTCAAGTGGCTCCTGCGTCAGACGACGCAGATGTGCGAGCTCCAGAGGATCTGTTACGGCCAGCCGTCCGGGGCGCCGCGCGCCTTCGCCGTCGAGGAGTCCCTCAGGCGGTCGCGCGACGCGAACATCCGGACGCTGATCGCGTACCTGAACGACATCGCCGATCAGCGCGGCATAAGCACGAAGACGGAGCGCAAGATCCTCGAGGAGGCCATCAGGACCGTGCTGGTGACCAAGAGGATCAATCCCACCGCTCATCCGGACTTCGCCAAGTCGTTCGGCAAGTGCATCGAGCTGATCTGGGGTTATCGTCAGCTCTGTGTAGAATGCGAGGAGCTCAGGAGGACGCCGTACAGCACGGACAATCCTGAACACGAGCAGCTGTTGCTGAAGCTGTGGAATCTGCTGATGCCGTACGAGCCGTTGGACGCGAGGGTGACCAAGCAGTGGCAGGAGATCGGCTTTCAAGGGGACGACCCGAAGACCGATTTCCGCGGGATGGGCATCCTCGGGCTGGAGAATCTGATTTATTTTGCTCAAGAGTACCCGAGCGCGGCCACCCACGTGCTGTCGCACTCCACTCACCCGCGTTACGGCTACGCGTTCGCCATCGTCGGCATCAACCTCACCAGCATGGCGCTCAAGCTGCTCAGGGACGGCAGCGCCAAGACTCACATATACAACTCCTCGAAAACCCTGCCGACAATCCGTGCCTTTCATCAGTTCTATTGTTACCTGTTTTACGAGTTCGACGGCTTCTGGATCGAGTCGAAGCCCAGCAACATGATGGAGTTCTCGTCTATACAGGAGAAGTTCGAGAACAGCATCAGAATGGCATTAGCCAATCCATCGACTGTTTTCAGGATAAACTTGGCAGTTGACAATATCTAACACGTTCATACGAATGCCTTTTACGTGTAAGACAAGACCAAAATAGTTGCGTAGAGAATAAGTACAATGTTCAGGCTATCGTATACACACACACACACACACATACACACGCGAAAACTTATTTTTTATTATATATTTTCACATTGTCGGCTTCATTGTGATATTAAGGCACTTGAGTGAGTAGCTAATAGGGTTTCTCTCTGCCGTAGGAATTCCTGCCTTTCCTTTAGCGGTGTAATATAGTTAACGTCGATGTGCATCTTATTGTAATTATACCAGAAAGTTATAAACTCTAGTTTCTTTTTCTTTGGTTTCATATAAGTTTGTACGCACAGGTGAATCCTGTTTGCAGGACACGGAACCCGTCGCTCACGCGTTTATATAGTTAAATTGCCTAATATTATATAAAATTATAAATATATTATATATATTATATATTATCACAAGTTATATATATAATATAAATATATATAATATAAAAATTAGAGATATATATATACATACGTACGTAGCCACGCGCTTCATATCTGTATTTATTCACGCAATTTCTAAGTGTCTTGGTTTACGATCTCATGGACATTCTGTTCCATTTGTCTCGTGCATTTTGTCATTTGACGTTCCGAAGGTTTATTTATATTCAGGGTATTTATTGCGAAGAATCTAAAGAGGGAAGGATACTAAGTTAAAGTAGAATATTAACAATGTAATCGCACTGTGGACTTTAACGAGACCGAAACGAAAACTTACCGTGCGGTAATATGTGTGCATGCAGTACGAATAATGTTAAGTGAAGTAGTAATCTGGGTGGAAATTGTGAAAGTGCGAAACCGTTTCTTTCGTGTTGCACGTTAATGAGGAACTGACCCAGACAGCAATAAACTTCTAAAAGATCTCTTAAATGCGTCTGGAAGACACTTAAAAAAAATGTCTTTAAGCTTACGTTACTTGAACTGCAAACGCTTTGAAGTGCTTAATAAATGAATACGATTGGTCTACACGACGCTTCAAGGTATTTGCAACATGAAGAGGATCTTGTCCTAAGAACTTTCAGAAGTTTGTGTTGTCTAGATAGATTCGGTTTCAGTAGCCTGACTGTTCAAAATCGAAAACTGACGTACGTCCAGGGTGTTTGCACTGAACACATATTTCCGTAGAAATATTACACGTACTTTATTATTGCTATTGTCTAACATTACGTATCTCATCCTAATTTTGTATGATATAATTTATTTACAAGTCCTTCGTATATTGCAATCATTACAAAAATTGTATCGAATAGAGTTACACTAACAATAATATCCGAAGCAATAGAAGTAACGCACTATCACATATGCAATCGACGGGATGCATTGCGCGCAATAGCTTGACAATAAAAATCCCCTTTCTTTTTCTTTCGGCAAAGCGGATGTTAGCTTGTGTCTAGTTAAGTAACTTCAGTAAATGTCGCTTCTCCTTTCGCGAATACCGCTTATTATCGTTACGCGAGTCTCCTATTCAGATGTACGTCTAGATACACCCTGAGTAAAAAATATATCTATTTTATCGTGCCGAGGTTAATACAAGTATATTTGTGCATTAGATTGTTACACATGAAATGCGTCGGCGTTTTTTTGCTCATCGATGTTAGGGTAACTTCGAGAACGTTACATGCGCTTAATCGAGAGATGTCATCTACCGCACACTCCCGTTTGAGCAATTGAATGTTTCGATTATTTAAAATTCAGAACTTGAGAAGCTTCCTTTGAGGGTAGAAATATAGATTTATGCGAAAATGCGTATCATCAACACGTCAGCTGCCAATGTGTCGCCAGTGAATACATTTGGCGCAAAATATTCGAGGGGAAGGCGTGTGTGTACCCCGGTGATACATTCGATCTATATAAAACGAGTATAAAATTACCTATGTAATGAACACTATTTCGATTCTTTCGACTCGCAGCTTGTAGAAGGTACAATTTTGTTGTGTTTGTACGACTGGAGAAGTGTCGTCTCTCTAAATCGGGATCGAGCAACCAACGTGTCAAGTTTAAAGGTTTCTTGGACATTTTACATGCAATAATCTAACGTACAATCGAAAATACTATCTTTTACCACTGTAGAGATAGTAACCGGAATATATATATATAGAGAAACGTTCGTATATCTTTGGCAAACGCGGTAGATTTACTTCTCCTTCTTCTGCGGAGCCTCGGGTTTTTGCCGGAATTTCGATGCAACTGTAATAACAACAAACACCCCGATACAAATGCTGCCTAGCTTGAGTACCCATGGATTATCGAGGAGAAAGTTGGCGATGATTTGCGTGAGATTATCGCTGAAATGAGGAAAAAGATACATTGACGATGATACGTTGACGTGCGTGTTGTACGAATTCGTATAAGCGAGCGACGATAAGTCCTTAAAACTTACAAGGGACTTTGAGGCACGGGCACTTTCTCTGCTTTCACATTTTTGTACCACTCTTTGGCGAACGAGACGAGGGAATTGATATCATGCCTTCCTGTCTCGTACCGGTACATCTTGCCATGTCTGAAGCTGTGTCAATACAAAGCGAAATGCATTACAATGCAAATGTATCACGAGACATTATAACTTACGTTTATATCTCACGTATGCATTTGTAATACTATAAGTATCGTGAATAAGAATATTACACAGACATACACACACACGCCGGTTTATACACGTACACTTACAATATAAATTGCGGAGTGTCATAAACATTAAATCTCCTGGCTGTGGAAGCTCCAGTTGTGGATTTATTGATAAGCGCTACGTTCACTCTCTGCTTGAGCTTTGCGGCGACTGTCTCCCATCTTGCGATCATACGCAAGCATTGTACGCAGTCTGTGCTGTAACTGATGTCGCACATCATTAGTACTGCCGTTATTCGTAAGGAGAGTATTAACCAATCGCGTGAGTAAAAGAGCGAGACTTACAACATGACAAACCAATCGCCGGTTGTAGCGCCGCTACTCGCTTGAGTTAAATGCTCAAATGTATCGTCTGTGAGTTCCTTCACCGCAGGTACTTTATTTTCCGTAAACATAGTTAATATATCGTCGTCGTTCAAACGTCCTGGAGGAGAAGATGCAAAATGAGAATCTATAGTACAACTATAAATTTATATGCACACATTCTCAGAAGTATAAAAATATATCTAGCAATATATCACCATATGTATGTGGGATGGTAAGACATAATGTATCATCACGGAGCAATTAAATGATCAAAACACATTCGAGTGTAATTTTCTTACTCCTTGCCGGATTTATACTGTACCATCATATAACAATGGAAGCCCATGTCTGAAGAAAAGTAGGATCGGCTCTTTGTCGGTGCTGTACAGTTGTAACAATTGACTGTCGACAGCCTTTACGATCCATGCCGACAAGGAATCAACCAAGTCTTCCCGCAAGTGGATCAATTGATTCACATAGTTTTCACATTCTGGAGAATCCTTCCTTGCTGTGAATAAAAGATCAACGTTACTAGTAATGGCAGAGTATATTCAGAATTTTCCGCTGTTCTTACAATTCTTAGGAAGAGAATGAGAATTTATGTAACGTTTCATGGTTCACATGATATATTCATAGAAATAATTCAAGCCTTTTGTCCAAGTTACAAGAGCTTCGATTTCAGGCTAAAATGTCCTGAAGAATGAAAATTGTATGTGTGTGTGTGTGTTGTGTTGTGTGAAACGTCCCATCACAATTCAATTGATAAAGATATGAATAAGTAATACATCAGATACATAGTTTTGTTTTTCATTAACAATCTTTTCGTTGATAGCTAATGAGATTTTAGCATTCCTCCAAGAACATCAGACAATAAAAATGAGAGTAAAACAAACTTACTGAATAGGACGACGACATATTTTTCAGTCTTGATGAGGTTCAGAAGTTCATCATCGTGCACCGTCTCAAGACTTGCAGAGTACGCGCCGGAAAAAATGCATGTTGCGATTAAAAGCGCTATTTGTAACATTGTTAACTTCCTCGAGACGGATGATGATGCACGAAATTCGTTCACCGGCGAACTGGTACACGTCAAACTCGACTCGTGTATAACCATAGAATAATAAGTGAGAGGAGTGCAGAGAGACGGGACAGCACGTGTTACAGTTCTGTAACGCAGATAGCCGCCATTTTCCCACCGGCGGTCCAGTTTAAGATGCCGTGAAATATTTTAATAAAAATAAAGCACGTGCTTCTCAATTAACCGGTATGTTGTAATTATATTTATTTTTAGGCACGTCAACCGCAAATTTCAACGTGAATATTTAATATTTTTTTAGAACTGCGTCTGATAAAATGTCGCAGATTCGGTCATTTTTGTGTTTTGTAACAGAAACATTAGCAAATTTATGCAGAAATACGTTTTTACGCGTATAATACGTCTCACGATAATATCTTTTTCTAAGAATGGGACGTCCTTAGAATTTCACTCTTTGATGGCTTATTCCAGATAGAGCTCAATAGACTGAAGCGAATTGTGGTGGAAAGAGGGACGATCACGTGGCTGGAGCGACTGTGATCGCCCCCTCCCCGCCATATATATACATATAAAAGTATTATACAATTTATATTTTATGTACATATATTATTTGAATCTTATAAATAAGTATATATATGAAGATAGAATGGTAATTGGACGTCTTCATACTTATATTAGCGTCACGAAGAATTCAAATGTAAAGTTTCACGCAATCTTTTACAGATTAAGAAATTAATAAAATTAAAAACAAGCATGTTCGGTGTAGTGACATATAACGCTTTGTACGCTGATGAATCAATAGTTCACTGAACTTTTAGTTGAAAAAAGCCCTATACCAATGATATGTAGTCAATAGATTTTGATAACTATCTCGTTCGTGCAGGATTTCGTGAGCTGCCGGAAGGATGTAAAAAATGGCTTTGTCCATAACAGTCATTTTTGGTACTTTTTCCAATAATGGAATAATAAAAGGAAAAATATGTACGAAATGTTTCTGGATAATATTAAAAATTTTTCTCTATGGAATTTGTGATCAATTTGGAGTCGGCACTTTTTACGAAAATAATTCATATATTGCAAGCAATGGTATGTGTGTTTTTTTATAAAATGCATATCACTAATTATTAATTTTCCGAAGTGAGAAGGAACAGATAATAAAATTTAATTTAATTTAATTATTTTGTTTAGCTTTTTAAGCTAATTTCCTTTTGGTAAAGTTTAACGTTCTGAAGCTAAAACATCAAAAAATTAATATTGAAAATTGCCAAAAGAATATAATGAGAATGTGATTGGTCAATTTGCTTACTGTTTAAATGTTATTGCTTACGTTTCTGTGCTATTATATAATAAACTGCAGATAAAATATGTGCGATAAAAAAAACAAATATTACATAATTAATATGAGTGAATAATGGAATTAATAGATAAATAAAAGAACATTTTTTTTCTTATAATCCGTTATTATCTTTCATTGTTATTGAAAATCTCGGTAGGTATTGATTATTGCGATTTTTCCGAGCAGTTTTCCGCGCCATTGAAAGTATCATTCGTTGGCGGGCGAAGACGGTTGGCGATTGGCGCGCGCGATTGATTCATCTCCTTGGATGAATCAATTGTTTTGTTTACTTTCGTATGTGCTTCTATGACCGCGATATTACGTTTCGAGGAGACGAGTGACTTACATACCGCGACACGAAGCGTGTTTATCGTTGCGTTAGTTATAATTCCTGTTGGTTTGTAAATTATTTCATTGACTTCTCGCCGACATTGCGTTAATTTAACGCGTATTTTACAGTTTGAATCATATTTACGCGAGTGTTAATGAGTGAATGAGTGAATATTCGAAGTTGCACGACGAAGCAGCCGGAAACAGAATGCTGAATCAAGAATTCAGGACGAAGGACGCAGGATGCGGAGACATGGACAGCGAAGCATCATCTATTCTTAGGTACGTTAAATTATTAATTATACAAGATCTTCCTGTAATGAATATTTGACGAAGTTACTAAGAATAAAGAGATATCCGAATCGAAATTCAGACTGAAGTGAATCATTCATTTGAGAAATAATTATAGCTTCATAAATCTTTGATTATTTTTCAACTACATATAGCAAGAAATATTGGTGGTGACAGTCTATTTATAGAAATCTCTGATCATGTTTTCAATCAAAAATTGTGAATATTGGAGGTTTACAGATGAGAGACTGTCGATACTTTTATTAGTCTCAGAATGGATCATTTTATATAGACGCGAAGTCAAGACAATTCTCAATGGAAGAAAATAGCGGGTAACAATAATAGATATTTTTATTGATCATGGCACGTACTCTTTCGTTATCAAGTAAAGAAATATAACTACTTAGACAGCACAATATCCCAAATCGGGGTATAAGTTATCTTTAGGATATCTTTAGGACGTCTGTAAGACGTCTTAAATAAATCTTATAGATGTGTTATGTTCCAATTTTGGATATTACGCTGTCTGGATAAATATATATATTTAGACAAGTCCTTAGTAACTTACAACTATGAATATCGGTTATGGAATTGGTCTAATATTAATATCACAAATGATAATGAATGCGTCTAATAATACCCTTTTAGGTTGCAAAATATCCCCTTTGAATCCTTCCTTTCTCCAATTCGCTTCTCCAATTCCTATGGAAATTTGCAGCGTCAAATAGATTGTCACGTTAAGGAAGAAATTAAAAAAACAAAAGAAAGTCCTATTACTTACCTATATTTTATAGTTTATTATCCATATATTTTTCTCCTACTAATTATTTAATATCCGCACTTGAGTAAATTACGCAATTGACACATAGCGCGTCAAAATGAGGAAGAAAAAAACAAACGTAAGTAGAATATTGAGATAATCGTATATCAAATAATTCTATACAGAGCAACGTATCATCACGAGTCTCAACACGGAGAAAACAACAATGAGCGACCATTCGCGGCATGAAGGTAGGTCAACAACTTGTATAGTATTACATCTCGAGATTCTCTCCGCCGGTCCTTCAAGTTTGAGGGAATTTGCTGGGTTAATGTAGAACCGAAATTTCGACTCGGGATTTCGAGGGTTGGTTGGGCAATCTACCCGGCACTAACTAAAACAGTCGCTACGCTCCTGAGACTGAGGGGCCAAGGGGGGAAGGGTGGTTGTGTGGAAGTCGAAGGTTGAAGGATACAGCGATAGATAACAACGGTGGGCACACACAGTCCATGCATGTACGTGGCTGTTCGCGTAGCGAAAATTGTGCGCCGGTATGTCGGCGAACGCCGGGACGTCGGCGACTACCGCAACCCCCGTGGCGTGGCCCTGACGAAGGCACGAGGGTTGGCAGTCGCGTGTTCCCGTCGTCACGGCGCGGCCAGCCAGCCGCACAGCGTAAGAATGTAATCGGCTCACCGGAGTGTTCCTCGTTCGCACGTTCGTCGCCGCTCGTCGTCCGTGATGGCACGCGAAATTCCGTAACGTCGTCGTCGTGAGTATACTTCGCAACTCGTTCACGCACCCGCACGAGTCTCGTACTCGAAAGAAAGATAAAGAGAGAAAGAGAGAGAGAGAGCACCCCGCACGACCAGCTTTGACCGCCGTAAACGATTGACCTCGCTGTCGGAATCGACGAGGCGATCCCTCGTTCCGCGAGAATATTCCATCCCGGACCACGTTACAGGTTCGATCGTATCTTCGGTCCACCTCTCTCTCTCTCTCTCTCTCTCCCGTTATTGACCGTAAGACGAGAGGTATTGATCGGCGTTTTCTTCGAGCGACACGCACCACGATATCGAATTGCTCCCGGGAGTCAATCCGCCGTAATCGATAGTCCATGCGATCGCGTCGTCTCGTCGCCGCTTACCTGACTTCTTCACGGAACTCGGCGTGGAATTTATATTTGATCGTTATCACGCGACCCGACTGACGAATTCTAAACTGGGATCTCAGCCGTTCGTCCGATCGATTATTGTTATTAGCTTAGTGGTCTTAATTCGAACTCGAGCGAAGTCCGAAATGTGAAGAGACGAGAGCAACATCTCTCTTCGGGAAGAAAAGAGAGAGAGAGAGAGAGAGAGAACTACTCCACTCGATTTCAGCAACCCCGTCGTACGTCCGCGCGTCGCGCACTTACCGTTTTACGATTCTACCCCGGGTTTTCGCACGCGAGCAACAAGCGAATGGTAACCGAAGGGGAGTCGAATAAAATCTCGTCGACCGTGCCGATCGTCGCGATTTCGCCGAACTGGATTTACGCATTACGCCCGATGCGCGCGATGAGTTATTGCGAGAAGATCGTCCTCGTGTTTTTCCACCCCTTCTTTCTCTCTCTCTCTCTCTTTTTCAAATCACCATCGAAAAGGTCATCTTGGTGTCGACGTTTCGTACGATAACGGGCGTAACGGGCTTTTCACTTACGGCACGCCGATAAATGCGGCGCGATAAGCCGCGAATCTACGACGGCCTGGCGGTTTGCGCGATGCAACCCTGGATAATATTAACGGCGGGCGCGCGACGCCGGTGAGGAGGCGTCGTATTGTCGGTGTAATAGCGCTGTTTGCAGCCGGACAATCTACTGTTCTCGTTGTTTTTTCTTTTCTCTCTCTTTTTTTTTTTCGGTTGTTGTAAGCTTCCCTCTCGGTTTGCCCTCTACTGTTCTGCCTTCTCGTTCATTTTTTTCATTTTCGCTCAATGATCTCCGCATGCGACCGACGACACTCGGCGCGGTTCGCATCTGGGACTCGGCTTTATGGTCAATTGCACCGTTGAGTGCATTCGTGGGCTTATTTGTGGACAAGTGAGAAGCGTGTTGCACCGCGCTCTCGTTCGTAAACCCTCGCCGTCCTCGGCACGATCTGAATATGCGGATCAGAAAATAAAGGGCGATATTCCTGCCCCGTATACGAGCGAGCCGTGTACCTATTCCGATTTCGCGTGTGCGCCCGTCGTCCTGTACGCTATTCAGTTTTACCTCGAAACAACGCGTTTTGGAAATAAAGGACGTGTCTCCGGTCGCGACCCATATCGCTCTCGGGATTGCTATCGTCGGTAAACGACGATCAATTTCTAATTCCATGTCCATTAACCCGGGTACTTATTGCGATGTAACTCCGCTGGTTTAATAGAGCATGAACGCTACCGTCGATAGATCGCTGCGGGCCGCTCGGTATTTTGGAAAACGGGTTTTGTCGCGTGTAGTCGTTTGTAATTTATCAGCCGGGAGACATAATGGTTACGAGGACTAAGTACCTGTATCAGTATTGATGTCACTCGATATTCCTGGCTCGGGGATGGAGCTCGTCCTCCTGTAAGAAATACAATATATATCAAGGCGCGCCGGTCGTTTCGCCGGTGGCGCACATGCAAATATGATACGCGACAAAGCGATGGAATACATACAGTAGCAGAGGTCACGTGGCAATTACTTTTGCGCGACTGGTAGGAGCGATCTGTCAAAGGTGATCTGAACATAAATCATTCATAAATTTGTTCGTTCTAATCGCCCGTTCCGTGCCGGGTTCTTATTTACGTTTTCTGCCTTCAAAATGAAACAACTCGCGATATATAAATCACACGGGCGAGAACATGCACACATACACGCGCAAATGGACGCGGTGGTATAATTTTTCGCGCGGGGAGGCGTGAGAAAGAGGGGGGAAAAGAGAGAGAGAGAGAGAGAAAAAGCGGCGCGCATTAAGAGCACGCTAAACGCGAGGCTCGTGATTCTCGCGAGCGTCGACAGTCTAATTCACGATTGCATTTTTACGCGGGCGTATAACTGCGCCTGAAACGCGATACGTGAAATTAAAGCATAGCTTAAGCGTTGAACGAGAACCGGCCGATAAAGCTTCGGGGGAGCTTTATGGAGGCGGAACGGTGTCGTCCGGGGCGAGGGGGGACGTCAGGCCGAGGGTGGGCGCGACTCGTTTTTATATCGGGAAACGATATATAAAACCGGATGTCTCGATTACAGCGCGCCCGCGCGCTCGCACGGTGTGTGTCCTAGCATTGGCACTTCCATTACACCGTCGACTACATACGGTAAACCGGTATAACCGGCGGCGTGTGTCTCCCGAGGGAAGAGTAATATCCTGTTAAATCGATAACGAATGATGACAGAAGCACGTGGCTGGCGGCATGCCGCCGCGCTCGCCGTCTTGTCGTCCCGTACCAAGTCGCACTCGCCCCCGGCACTCGATATTCCTGCACTCTCGATGTATCCGAATACTCCGGTGCATCGTGCTCGGAGACTCGGCCGTCGTTCTGAGCCCGTCCAGGATTATTGATATTATTATAATCATCGTGTCTGCGCCCTTATCTCGTGACTCTTGATTCGCTCGTTTCTCTTTTTCTCTCTCGCTCTTTCTCTTTTTCCTATTTTCTCCCTCCCCCTCTCTCTCTCTCCCTCTCTTTCTCTGTCTCTTTTTCCACGTTATTAGGGGCAGAGCATCGTTGAGCATCGGCGCGCAAATGGCGCAAGGAAGCTCCGAGACGGCGTATGAGCCAGGTACCGAGGAGGACGCGCGGAGAAAACGCGAGCGCCGGGTCGTTCAGGAGGGCACGGCGTTGTGGAGACGTCGGAAGGAGGAGCTGCAACGTCAGAAGCATCGTGAACAACGTGAAGTATGTGCAACACAAATAGGCGTTCCGGCTGTCCGCGTCGCTGTCGTTTATGCCACTTGTGCCCTTCGCCGCCGGTCGGGCCGCGAACCGTCCTTAACGTCATTGTCCTCGCTACCATTGTTACTGATCGGATAAAGCTCGACTGCGAGAGAGATACGGCGGGATACGGCGTCCGATGAACCGAGACTATCGGTTCATCGAAGCAAGGACGCCCAGATTTTCGGGCTAATCTGCGGAGTAGTTTCTCGAACGCGTCGCGCTTGCTCGCCTCTCCGAGTTTACGAGGACCCTTTTTGCCCCTGTATATATACATTCCTGTCTAATGTCACGTTGAAGTTTGAAAGCAGCCGTGGCTCGCGTGAGGGACGGAATAATAGTAATGTATGATTCATAGATCTTTTTGGACAGGACCTCTTGTCGCGTACAAGAGACAAGGTTGCATACCGTGAGACAAGAACGGGCGTTTAGATACGTAAGGGCGAGTTGCCAAAATCGTACTGCTTACGGTATTTTTAAAGCGTTTATATCACACAGAAAACACAATGCAATTCGCTCGAGTGTTTGATTAGGTGTTTTAACGTTCATTTATTTATTTACCACTGCATCGCGTTCATATTCAATAATTATGGAAAAAAACATGACGAGTTACGATTTAAGCAACTGTCTGTACGGAGAAAGAAGAATGGTTGAGTTAACGTGACAGTGAACGAATTGAATACGTGTTAGTTGAAAGATGCGGAATTTCCTAACGACAAATTTATAAGTTTATAAGAACTAGAAATTCTGTTTAGAGTTTATTTGGAGTTCCAAGTAGCACACGAAGTTTTAAAACGGCTGCGATAACGTTATCGTAACTTAAACCGCAGCACTTTTATCTGGCAGCAGCTATCCGCTACAATGTTTTGTCAAAGTTGTAGCAACAGAAGTGGGATAATATTTTTAGGCTTTGAAAACGATATCGCAGCCACTTGACTGTACAGCTATGTTTTGCTGTAAAGAGGTTGGTCATAGTCACATTATAGCAATGCAATCGGAGTAAAAATAAACAAACTAATAAACGGAGAATATTTTTCACGTGTAAATTAATATTCAGCGAGAGTGAAATTTTAATTTTAAAATTACGCGGAAATGTTGAGAAGGGAATTAAAAGAAATGTTTCGACTCAAATAGAGTTGAACTTCGGACAATTCCTTCGTCTAACTAAACTTAGATCAAATTTAGAGATTAATTAATTATTGTAAATTATTACAATTTATAATGTGCATATAAGTGTATTAGCGCGGATGTGAATGCATAATTACATTCACAGATCATTAAGTAATAATTTTAGAGCCGCACAAATGAACGCACGGATCAGCTTGGCCATCGCCGATATACTCAATTTAACATGAAATTGATAAATTGATCGCCTTACTTTTTGCTTTCGGTATGAAATACAAATTACAGCCAGATTACAGCTATTTACTTTCTAACGCCAAAAGTAGCAAAATGGTTGAGGCTAGTTTTGACTTTTCTTTATAATTGTCATAATGCTTTTGTAACTGTTGATATAGCTAAAATAACTGTGGTTGTATTTAGATTTTTTTCTTAGCTTCACAGCGACTGTACATTAATACAATTAAAATAACTGTGGCTGCACCTTCACTTGTTTATTAGCTGTCACAGCGCTTTTGTAGTTGAAAGTCCAGCAAAAAATAACATTTGCAGCCAAATGACTATAATTAAGGCTAACGTTATACGTTAAATCATATTTTTGCTCGGCAAATATAAACAGACTGTGTTACTTGGGGTGTAATGAGGGGGGGGGGACATGTAAAATCTGTCGAGACGAATGTGGAAGTGGACGCATTAATCGGCGTCTGTGATCTTAAAATATATTTCTCCCAGGTGGGAGAATCGGGATCAATCCACGAGTGAGGATTTTACGACACTCGCTTTTATTATTGTAGGCGTGTGTCGATGACAGTAGGTGACGTTAGCCGCTCGAGTTATTGAGTTCACAAGCGCGACTATTTTTGCATTTCGCACGCGCCGCGTACATCGCCGAATTTGGAGCGAGGAATAATGTGCGCGCGAATAGTAATAAAATCACGAGTATATCCCGTTACAGTGAATTTGCATAATTTCCGTCTAACTATCCCGCAAGAAACGGGCCGCGAAAGGTAACCCAATAATCTATCTTGGTCTCGTGGTACTCTATATATACAAACTGTGCGCCTCGGCTCGTGTTCGTCAAAAACTTGCTGTAACGAACGTTGCGCGGCGCAACCCGTTTCAACGCGCGTCGAGAGTGACGATCATTTGCGGAAGTGATCGCGAGGCTGAATCACGATCGGAATAAAAACGTCGACCTCACTTCTTTCAAATGATGAAAGACGCGAACTTGCACGAACTTTCGGAAACTTTCGGTGTGCCTCACCGCGAGCAATATCAAATTCGAGATGATTTATCAAAATATTATATTCGAATTAAGGCCATGCGTTTTCTCTTCTTCCCCCCCTCTCTCTCTCTCTCTCTCTCTCTTTTTCTCTGTTCTCTAATGGAAATTGTTTCCATTGTTTCCATTCGTTAATTTCGCATTAGTTTCGCTCTCTCAATCGCAATTTTCATTTCCGTTCAATTAATCTCGGTTTTTCACATGAAGACATGGAAAAGTGATTCCCGAGACCGCTTTTTGTCGAGTTTTCCGTACAGTTTTCATACACCTCTCACGAGTTTATCTCCACCATGTATTATACTTTTATATTTTTCCGTTTTATGCCGTTATCGGCGCGTCATGACGATGATGCTCGATCATCAGCAGCTCGGTCCCTACATATTTGCGGCGCACATGCTCGTTACATTCATTTCCATTCTCTGTGAAAATAACAATTTGCATGGAATATATTATAAAAACACACACGAGAGGCACTCCAACCTACACCTCTCTCTCTCTTCCTCCCACCCTCGCACGTTACCGCGAGTAATACGTCACGCATACATCACTCGCCGCCTCCTCCCGCCCTCCAATCACTCAAAATGCACGAAATTATGAAAATTCAAGCGCGTAATTACTGCTTCGTTGATTATTTCGTATCGCTAATTCACGCGTCGCTCGTATTAAATCGTATTTACCGTATTATATTTACCGTGCTCGCGACTCGGGATTTACCGTTGTAACCGCGTTGTATGCTAATCAAGACGCCACGGATAATAGAACGTACGCGCGTACTCGCACGATGCACTCTTCTCTATCATCACCCGACGCTTCTGTCTCGCGTGAAAAATCCCTCTTCCTCCCCGTCCCGCGGCAGATCCAGCCGTTAGAGGGTGGGATCAGAGGCGCGAAGGGCGACCGATTATTAATCCGCGATTAAGATGCATCGGCTCGGCGGCGACCCCGTTAGCGTGAAGTGTGACTGCGCCGTACTTTACGTCGCTCTTGGTTTTTTCTCGCAGCTGCAGGAAATTCTGGCCGGTTACTCGCCGTGGGGAAAGCCAGGTGGTGGCGCGCCCTGCCCGGCCACTCTAAGGAAGAAAAACGTACCTCTGGAGCCGCTCGAGTTGCCACCGAGGCCGAGGTGTTACAGTTTCGGTCAGGTAAAACTGCTCGCTTGAGACAGAGAGAGAGAGAGAGATAAAGGGAGGGAGGAAGAGATTGTTGCCGCAGTCGTCATTTTTCTTTTCATCCTCGCCATCGGCGGCGCGCCTCACCTCGCCGCTCGCTATTTCTCGTTTAATAGCGAAACTTCGCCTCGATCGCGCGAGACGCACGACATCGCCGTGGCGCGTTCGTGAAAACTTCCGGGCTTGCTTACGCACGTCGGCCTGACGGAGAAGCCGCGAAGAAGCCAATTTCCCCGCAAGCCTCCCCCCTCCGGCGAGATTTGTTGCCCCCGCGTTCTCTTAAATGCATCTCCCGGCGCGTATGCTTTTGAGCAGTTTTTCCGAAGACAAACGGCAGTTGAACGCCCCGCGGCGGGGGAACTCGCGGCTCAAGTCGCGTTCCGCGTGTCGCGGCGAATAGATTCGTTTCCCCATTCGCGGCTTGTTTCTTTTAGTATCGCCCGTGCTGAATTATGATCGCTATCGCTCGGGAAGAGTGCGATATAATTGTGAAAAATTACGTCGTTACGCTCGCTGCGTACGCAATTCTCGCGGATAACAGTTCGTGTATCCGAAGAATCGCGGGGAAGACGGATCTGTGTCTCTCTCTCTCTCTCTCTCTCTCTTGCGCGGGAAAATTACAGAAATATCATATCGCACGCCACTCTCCGGGAAAATTATACATCTGTAATTCGCGCCTGCGACGCGATCGCGAGTGGCACACACGTGAGTCTCGCGAAACGAGTTATTAAATTCATGCGCGGTGCGCGTGCATAAATACGCGCGGAGGTGCATGCATGCACGAGAGGACCCGGAGGAGTCGGGAAACAATAGCGTCACGCGACGGTGTGTGCTAAGGCTTCGGCCAACGTTAACACTTCGTATTCGTTGGAACACGCATCGGAGTGTCCGTTGTCTGACATCAGCCCTGTACAAGTAGCACAGCGACCTAGCAGCCTAGCTCCCTCTCGGCTCGCTTTTGCCGGAGACATTAGTAATTATCACGCCTTCTTGGTTCTTCCGGGAGCCCAATAATGCAAATTCACCCGCACACGCGTATCGTGTATCTCAGTAATTCGCATCGGCGCGATGTAATTTTCGTCACCGCGAATGAACAATGCGTCGATGAATTCGCTGTAATCTGTGCAGCGGAGGAAAGCGATTTACTATTATTGTACTTTGTAGCGAAACCGTTATTGCTGTTGCATATTTCCCAGCGAGAAATAATTCATCGAATCGATGTCGAGTCGAGGCGAATAAAAATTACAACGAATCGACGACGATTTAGCGTCGACTCGATGTCCACTTCTCGCCGGGTTGTTCACAGTAGTAAAATTTCGCAGTTGTAACCAAATCAGCGTATTATTCGCAATCAGAGCAGAAACAGTTTTATTGCCAGGTTAGGAAATATTCTGCTGAATTAATCCGCCCTTACGGTGCAAATATGAATGTGTTATTTCACTGATGCTTTTCTCATATATATTCGCCGACTTAAATCATTTAACACGATTGGACGTGTCATGTATGAACACTGCTAAAAAAAATTATTGAAGGATTATAGACAATGATGACGATGACTCGGTCGAATAATTCGTTTAATCGTAGAGGAAAAGCACCAAAGCTGACCGCATAGGTACGGGAAATTGATATACCCATGTTTATCTGCTATAAAGTACCGAACTCCGTCTAACAGTATGTGAACTCCGTCTACTGTATGCAGTAGGTGGAGTTGAAGTTTCGGCTTGTAAGCGCGTTTGGTTATATTATTATCGTTAGTTGACTTTACGGTACCGGATTTTAATTCCACACCTTCAATAGGATTTTCGAGTTTAAAGAAGCAAAATGACACGTTGGTCTCTGATACTTTTCCTCTGTTACTGTTGCACCATCCATTACGATCTCTCTAAGAGCATGATTAGATTTACCATGACGAATAAGTAACAGAGAGAAGGAAACACCGGTAGCAGTTTACCAGCCCTGCCAATGCATTCACTTTCATACGATTCAGCTTAAGCACATGCTTCCCTTGCGGGAACGCAAAGAACCTCGCTTCCTCTCTCCCTCGGCGTCGTCAATTAGATTCGCATTCCCATGCACTTATACGTTATAATTCCGTAGAGTGCTACCACGTGCACGAATTCATCGCTATGAAAGGCAGCGGCACGCTGAAAAACCCCTGTGTAAAGACGCACAAATTATGACGCATTGTTATCTTCGATCCGCTCGGTAACGTAACGGAGCCGAGGAGGAAGTCGCCGCTTCTATTATCGCGCTGAATATTGCAAAGGCAGCGCGCGTGTGGCGCTTCCGGTTTCTACAGTGAAGAAATGTAACGAAGGGATGAAGAACACGACCGGTGTTGACTCGATACGGTCGCAACGACGTCGCTCGTGCGACCCAATCAACGTTAAGGGTCAGTTGCATCGACACGGCTTAGCCGATAGGTCGGTGAGCTTCGCGACCCAGATCCGATGGATTCTCTCCTTCCGTCCGTGAATTCACACTCACGGCCTCTGATTTAAAAGGGAAACTGATTAATTCGTGATGACGGTGCGCCGACGTACCGAACCGATTATTTCCGAGAACTATTTGTCAAAAATTACCAGGAGCGCTGTAAGTGGAATAGGGTCGTTTGAGTTGAGTTAGAAGCGCATTTGTAAGACCTTCGTGGCGCAATCTCCGTTGTACGATTAACGGATTGACGCGTGTTTTACCCAGGGGGGGGGGAGGGAGGGGGAGGTCGGAATAATAAATACGCGATCGACGGTAAACTTGGCGGCGTCTTGAGTCGCTGTTCAGCTGCTTTTATCCGCTCGTGTCCTGTCACTTCGGCGTCCTTGTGCGTGTGTCGATCAGAAGTGTGACGATATTGCCCCGTCGCCGATATTAATATTTTATCTGACCTCGCGCATGAAACCTCCTCGATACCGCAGACACGAAGTTTGTATTGCAGTGTCATCACGTGAATGCGACACGCGATGACGCGTGAAGCTTGGCAAACTTCGTTCTATTTGGGAATCCGCAAGCCGTTGTGTAGCCCCGTGAAATAGGTCAAAAGTCAGTATCTCGAGAGACGTGGTTCTAAATTTGACGATTATCTTTGGTTGGGATTGGAACGAAAGCTTTTTATGTAAGTCGATATACGAAATCGCAGGATACGAGTTAGAGCGCGATTTCAGGAATAATTGAACGGAAACTTCAACATCGGTTGAACGTTTCTCCACTTATACTAAATTATTTTACACGTCGTCCGTTTGTTACAAAATAGTTTACCAGAAATAGTAAGCAGACCGTGCCAATTGTAATATCCTTGTCTTGAGTCAGGCAAAAAATGATCTCTGTTATATTTCATATTGATGGGAATAATCACGACAATATCTGTGTGACATTCTAAATAAGATCGAGAGACTACCTAATTTTTTATTTAGACTTTGTTTTCGGTTCTCCCTCTTTCTTCCTCTCTTTTTACTAGGTTTCCATTCCTCTCATAACTGTGCTGAATTCTTTTGCACGTGCAAATAAAAAATACAAACACGTGTGCGTCAAATTTTCATTAGAGTGTTTAATAGTCACTGAAAAAAAATACTCATAATCGCGAAACTGTGAGGTGGATAAAAAATCTCGGGAGGGATGCCTCGCGATTTTTGTGACCCGAAAGCCGCGCGTCCCGTCGCTATATCCAAATGAGTTGAGTTTTATTGTCGGACGCGGTATCGACACGTCATGCCAGAAAATACGAGAAATCTCGTAATGGACTTTCCTTGTATGTCGGACACGAGGCATTTTTCTCGTGGCAATAATTTCGAGAGAGAGAGAGAGAGAGAGGCAGCTGTGTGCCGCCGAGGCCGAACACGTCGTATCCGCTCGAACTCGAGACGTATAGTCGATTTCTCCGATCACGTAGAACTAGAAATGCTACTCCCCCACTTCCACAAAGTCGATTCTCCAGTGCCTACGGGTCCGCCGCGAAATTTTTGACGCTCCGTATATAGAGTCGCGAGAGAAAAAGTTTTAACGCCGCGTCCAGTGTCGTGTAGAAATAGCTTTTATACGTATTTAAACGCGAAACAGGAACGCAATATCGGTCGAGTCTTTGTGTTTTTTTTTCTTCTTTCTTCCTTTTTCCTTTTTCTTGATAAACCGAACGCGCTTCTACGTGCGCGCTACGTAGAGCTCCCGCCGCAAATAGCGGAAGCGAAGGGATTGGGTTTATCTTACGTTACGGAAGGTCCTCTCGGGTATTTCTATCGCGTATTTCGGCAACACGGAAATATCGGAAGATTTATACAGGATATGCTTCGTTAGACTCTTCAAAGCATTCCAGCTTCCACGGTGAAGTCATTAATCCTGCAATGAAAAAAAGTTTGTTTTAATTTATCCGACAGTGAACAAACCAAACCGCGTTTTGGTCGAAGGAAACAGAATTCGATTTCTTTATGATCCAAATTCGACTTTTACAACCAGAAGTATTATTTCCTTCAACCGAAACGGGTTTGCTTTGTTCATTGTCAGGTAAATTTATCTAAACTTTTTTGTGCGCGTATAAAAAACGCTTTAAAATCTGTAAAGCGTCGAATAGTAAAGCTTCAGAGTTTGTAAAGCGTCGAATTTTATGTTTGACTATTTTTTCATCTCCAAGTATATTGACTCTCTTTACATTTTCGGTACCTGAGAAATGTCTCAGAAGACATACAATTTTTTATATTTCTACTCACAGAACACTTTATGGTAGATTTAAACCAGTCAGTCGAATTTCTATGCTAGCAAATTATTTCGTTATTTCGGTGGACCTTTTTAGCACGTCACTGTTGTGGAAAAAGTTAAGTGGAAATTTGCGCTGATCTGGGTTGATGTTCCGTACGAGTGTTCTTATCTCTGCAAGTATTCCTTTTTTTTTTTTACTATCTATGTTATCAAAGAATGTTCCCTGTTTACATAGTAACAAATAAATAAATAAATAGATTGCATCCGAAGACGCGAGATATTGTAATAAT